TGCCTAGATGAAGAGGTGAAATCCGTGATGGGTAGCTGTGTAAAATAACCACTTCAGTCACAAGGAACATCTCAAGTCTTCAGTGTTCAGAACCGGGTGAACGAACGTGCTGTGGCAGAAGGCCTTGGAAGAATCGGGCCGATCTACAGTTGTGGAAAAGGACAGAGTGAAAAATGGGCCAAACGTTATTTCCCTGTCCCTTGTCCTTTCTGCAAATCAAGGTGTAGAAAGGAAGATTCTAAACAAAATCAGTTGTTTAACTTGGGACAACATATTACAGATCCCTTCTTAGAAAAAAAGAAAAAAACAAACCCAAAAACCAAAACAAAACCAGGTGGACAGAAACAATGCACTGAAACTAATGTGAGTGAAGTAAATTCTTCAAAATCTATTGTTTACATAGAATATTCATGATGTTATGAAGAGCATTCAAAGTTGTATTATACATATTTTAAATTGTTTATAGTAAGTTGATATTTTTTTAATTTTTTTAAATTACTGGAGTGAATTTTAAATGGACTTGCTGCGTAAGCAATACAGTGCTTATTTTTTTGCAGTACACTGCTATTTATAGTAACTTGTCCAGTTACTTTTTTGAAGAGTGGTTTTGTTTTTAAAGCGGAGTAGAAAATGTTGACCTTCACCCAGGCAGTGCTCTAGATCCAGGGTTTCTCTCGTGCACACATGGAAGACGTGTTACCGTAGCAGTTGGAAGGAAGGTATGGAAGACTTCTGTACAGCTCTTACTAACCACAAACATGCTGATGTCTCTGTGAAACACTTCTGTAGAAATCTCCTCCTCTTCACTCCCTGGGAAAGAGAAAGCACGTGGAAGGGACCTACAGGTTCTGGGAGGAATCGGTCCGTCTCGGCTGGTGGCATTTGTTAACGTGACCTCATGGCTGATGTGACACCAAGCAAATGCCAGCCTGCAGGAGGCTCTTCATGAACACGCTGTGTTGGAAACACACTAAATATGACACATACATAATGCTAATCCAAAGCTTTTAACTAAAGTAGATAACAGCAAACGCGCTACAGGGAATATATAGGGAGTGTAACTTATTGGGGCATATTGTGCATAGTTAAATGTACTTGGAATGTTTGGTCTCTTATTTCACAGGCAAAATAATATTTTTTAAATTTTTTTTTTCTGTGAAGAAAAACTCTCTGTCAGTCCTTGTGGTGGAGTCATGGCTTTTGACTCATGTTTTCTTGTTCTAGAGATTTTAAAAAAAGAACCGTTCTGTGCTCTCAGTCACATCGCAGCTCCTCACCGGGAGGGAGGATAGAGAAAATACCAGGAGTCTTGTGTGGAGGTGGGAAAACAGACAGGGAATTGGTTCAAACACCCTAAAGAAATTAAACCACAGCTTCAATTTAAGTAATTTTAATGGGCTTTCCAATTCTAATTTATTTTAGTTGTTGATGCTGTAACACTTCTAAATACCGGTTGTTACATTAGATTTTATATTTCGGTCTGTGATGCTGTAACACTTCTAAATACCAGTTGTTACATTAGATTTTATATTTCGGTCTGCCTACCAGCAGGTATTTTTTAAAATCTCTTTAGTTTGCAGGTGTAAAAATACAGCAATATTTAGTTAGGCAGAAAGGAGATAAACCTTAAAGCTCACATTTACTTTATTAAATGAAATAGAGCAAGCCCTTTAGAGGCATAAATGAGAAGTAATGCTGCTATAAAGCTCTATGGAACCTCCTCCCAGACCTCTGGAAAGTAGTAAGAAGATGCTGCCCTAAGGAGAAAAGATGTAAAATTTGTAGAGCTGCAGGTATACGCTGATGATAATTGCAAGATGCAGTCTTAGGTAATACCTCCTCTCTAACTTGCTGCTAATTATGTAGCTGACCCTTTTCAAAGTATCCCCCCAGCCTGAGGAGGAGCTAGCAGTGCTACACTTACCAACAGTTCTCACATTTAATTTATATTAACAATTTGTGATACTCTTTCATACTGCCAGGCTTGCAAAGTGTTCCTCAGGTGTGAAATAACAGCTGTTTCCCCCCTGTCCCCCCCCCCCGGCCATGGTAAAGAGCGTATCAGTGTAGCGTGGGTACAGCCCCCCTTCATTCTTCTGACCTAGTGTGAAAAACATCAGGTTATTTTTTTAACATTGACTGTAAGTAGCGATTCGTGTGCATGTGTGCTCTGCTCTCAACAGTAGCTGCGCTGTATTTACCGAGGAGAAGTTGCAAACAGTAGTTGCTGTGTATATAATATAAACTCCCCCCTGTTTGTGCTGTGTATAAGGCCCTCCTGGCTCCTTCCAGTTCTCTCCCCCCCTGCCCCAGTCTCATTTACTGCTCGGGGCAGGCGCTGTTTGACAGGACCTTCCAGCCATGAAGGAGGGCGAGTGCTTTTTCCAGAGCTGCGCGGTGCGTCAGGGACGCTGAGCTATGAAGGAAGCTTCTGGAAGCTGCAGGCTTCCTTATTCCAGCCCGGCAGAAGCGACTGAGCCCCGTCTCTGACCACCTCCCACCCCCCGGGTGCTGCTGGCGCAGGGACAGACCCAAGGCTCGGAGCAGGGGGCCCCACTCTCTCCCTTCCTCTCCCAGCTTCAGCTGTAAGTACTTCCACCCGCTTTGCCACTTCATTCCAATATCAACAGTATTAGCAGAAAAAGTATATACCGTGCCACGGAAAGGATCGTGCATCCCTCGGACAAACTAAACGCTCTTGCATCCTCAGAGGCACTCCCCAGGCGTTGCTGGTTTTTGTTTGGGTGTGCTTTTAACTTCCTCTATCATGTAAGTAGTTCATCAAGTGAAATCGTTCTACGTAACCAATTGTTTTATACGGTCTGTTGCGAGTCAGTCCGCTGTAGAAATGATATAATAAAACCTAGTTGGAATAGTGATACACTTCCAAGTGGGAAATTTCCCTCATTCGAGTCGTAACGTTCAAAACGTAGGTCCCGAGGTGGAGAGTTTTTAAGCATCATGCAATTCAGTGTTGAAACAGTTTTCAGATCTCACTGTCCTTTATTAGAGAAGCAATTTGAGTCTATTTTCCAATACCGCAAAGATGGATAAAGAAAAATATTTGAGACGTATTTTCAATTTAAAATTTTGTATGAACTGAATTTTCTCCTTTTGTGTACTAAATAATGCTTACGTCAAAAAACCTTAAACAAAGGTTTTACATTTGCAGTGCAATATATATTTTGCTTTACTTATGGTTCCACTGGAATAACGATTGGAGATGGAAATGCTGAAATGTGAATAGAAATTGTGCTGTTTCTCTGACACTGCTCACTGTGTCCCGTTTGGAGAAGGTTTGCTGTTGGTGCAGTTACAGCCTGATGGATCAGACTTTCACCGGCCAATTAAATGATTTTTATACCCCAAGAAAGAGAGAAAATTCCTGCATGTAAAATCTTTGTATAACAAATGGGAGATGCAAATAGTAATTAACAGAGAGGGGTATTTCTGGGTATTATCTCACTGGGATTTAAAAATGGTACTTTGTTAGTCTGCAAGCAGCACTTTTTAAATGAATGGTTGTAGATTTGTAAATATGTAATGTTTAAATTTTATTTACCAAAAACCAGTCTGTTGGATGTTTGCTTTGGTTTGTAGTTCCTTTAAAATATGCAAGTCAGTGTTCACAATGTTAAGGGTTGGTTTTGTTTTTTTTTTTCTGTCTCATGCAAAAAAAAAGAAGTTTTACAGTGAGTCAATAAAAAGCTTAAAATCTTTCTGGTTATTTTCATTAACATTTTATTAGATGGATTAGAATGACAGAAACGTCTGCAACTCTTAACTAGGTTGTTTGCTCACATGAGGCGTTATTAACAATAAACCTGTCGGGTTTGTTGACGGTCGATGTCGGTGGCATTTTTTCATTGTGGTCACGTGGAAGTCAGTGCTAACAACAAGAATTAGTGCTGGGTACAATAATCTGTAAATTTCAGAGAGTGGTGTCAGGAGGAAGACAAAACTTAAGCAATTGAATGTCTTGTTGTGGTATTTCTGATTCCTGGTGTTAGTTTTTATTAGCAGTAATGTGGTGTTCTAACCCCAGATGGTGTTGTGAGATCGGATATGGATTAAAAAGGAGCCATAGGGGTACCTTTCAGGATTGCTCTGCAACTCTCAAACCCTGGGTTCTTCTGCAGGCAGAAATAATTCTTACTGCTTTGCTTTTTCCTCGAAAAACCTTAGTATTACATTTCCTGCAGTGATGAGGGGCAGCAAGAAGCGTTGCCCCTGAAGTGCATCTCCTGCCCTGTGCCCGCTTCCCCGGAGGTGTGTGCCCAGGACCAGCAGTGGCTGCTTCATCATGGGGTTTGCTGTGAGGATGGAAACAGCCTCTGGGTGGGGAAGTCCTGGCAAAGCAGCTGCAGCACAAGCCTCCAAAACCACTCATTGCTCCTCTACGGTTTGAGGGAGCTCACTCCTGAGGTGCAGGATGTGTTCACACAAGGGTTTTAAGCAGAGTAGCTCAGTGAGGACAGGCCACAGAGGTCTCATTCTGTGCCTGCTGAAGTACAGTCCATTGATTTCGGTGGGTTTGAGCCGTTTACTGAGAAATTTAGAGTGTGTTTCTGACAACATTTCTATAATGATTAAATATTCTGTGCTGAAAATGGGCTCCATTGGCTTGAGGGGATCAGCCACACTGAAAACTTCGCGCATCTGGCTCGTATCAACCTTCCTGTGAGTACCTGAACATGTCTGTTATGGGATACTGGTCACTTCCTTTTCTGATCCTAAAGAAAAGCAGTAGAGGCTGACACACCACTGGAGATTTATTATTTTCAGTATGTTAAAGATAGTTTAATCTCTGTAAATTTGTTACAATTCTGGTTGCTTTTTTTCAGTAGAACAATTGCTACCTTAAATCTCAGTAAATGTTACAATTCTGGTTGCTTTTTTTTCAGTAGAACAATTGCTACCTTAACCCCCTTCTGATTTTTTGATGTTTGGTTACATACGTCTGGAAGTGTCCGAATGTCATACAGATACCGGTGTTTGGTTACATACATCTGGAAGTGTCCGAATGTCATACAGATACCGGGCAGGAAATTATCTTGTCTTCTAACATCACACTGATGATCAAAAACACGAAGTAAAGAGCAAACATCGTGAGCCCCAGCAGTTTGTTCATTTTCCATTTACATACAGCGATCGAGATAATCACAAACAGGAGCATGAGGAAAAGGAGAACAATTGCACAAAACAGACCGTTGCTACTGACTGCCACCGGGCTGAGTCCATTGAAGACAGAATAAAGGAACCAAGGAACCGGCAAACTGCAAGGAAAGGAAAAAGAATTGAAATAAATGTTTTAAGGCAGTTCATTTTCTGCATCATAACTGAGCAATTCTTCCAGGCTGTGACAGGGGAAAAAAAAAACCCCATGATTGCTTTCAGTATAACTCAGCATGAATCTAAAATGGATGGGGTTTGTGTCAAAAATTGCATTGGGATAATACTTGCTCTGTTATAATGCAATCCAAGGATCTAAGAGTGGTTTTAAAGTAATACTTGTGAATTAAGTGTCTCAGCATGTTCTGATAAAGAAGTCCTGATGCTTTATGGATGAGAGGTGCAGGCACAGGTACTGAGCCTGGACAGATCTCTTTGACGTTGGCCAAAGGTTTGCTGTGGTTTTGTCTTGGAAAAACCAGTAATTTTCTGTTGATTCCAAATTAACTGAAGATTGTGGTGCTTCTGTTTTGAGCTACATATCATTATTTTAAGCTGCAGAACCGTGACCTGAACTATGCGACTTAATGTTCACTCTGCTGCACTAAGGTATAAAAATCTGTCTCTCCTCACTAGCTGAGATTTAAAAAACAAAACAAAACAGTCACACTAGTAACTGGTTGTCCAATTACAATGAAATTAAGCCCCTGTTTAGAATAAACCAAAAAATCCTAAACGCCAGTAACTGGTTGTCCAATTTCAATGAAATTAAGCCCCTGTTTAGAATAAACCCCAGCTAGTTCTGTATTTCAGAAGAAATGCATCTCTTTTAGCGTTGAACTCGTACTCACCCAACAGTGATATCGAAGATGTTGCTGCCCACGGAACTGGAGACAGCCATGTCCCCCAACCCTTTCCGGGCCACGATGACACTGGTGATGAGGTCAGGGATTGAAGTTCCTGCTGCCAGAATGGTTAACCCCATAATTTCCTCTGAGATCCCAATTGTTTCACCAACCTAATAAATACAAAGAAAGTTGGGTAGGGCTGGAACATGGAATTTAATTGCTCTGTGCAGTCTTTTAGGTTTCAAGGCTTATTTGAATTAAAATATTTTAATGCCCTTAAAAATGGCAGCATTTTTTCCTGTTTTGTAGGATAAAACATTAAATTTCACAGTGTAAATTGATCTTGGATTTGCTCCACAGCATGGGGCACCCCATCCCAGTGTTGCCAAGACTAAGCAAGGTCAAGTTGGTCACAGGGCAGCTCTTGTGTCCCAAGTTCACCTCTCCTGGCCATGTTCCACCTCTCCTTCTCCAGATCTAACACCAGCTCTGCGTTATCCGAGAGCTTTGGGAAATGACAGCCTGTGGATTTATGGCTCGATCAGCTGCACTGTGAGTGTGCAATACATCACCAGATACAAATTGCAGGTCTCATTCTACAGGATGCAGGTATTATTTCCCAGAATACCGGGTTGAAGATTAAGGCGAAGGGAGTTGAGATCATTGAGCAGCTTCCAGAATCAGAACCTGTATTTTCCTAGAATTTTAATTAGGTAAGGGGTAATTATGTACTGCACAGGAGCATTCATCAATGAAAAGGCGGTATTAAGATAAATCTTGATGGCACTTTTCCTTTCACTGATGCACAAATTCCCTTGGAAGCTCTCGAAAAAGAATGACTCTTTGTCAAATCGAAAAGAATGAAATTGAAAATTCCCTTTTGGGTTCTAACAAAACAAAGTTTGTGCTGTTTTGATGGATGGCTGCAGCTGTAATTCATCAGATAAAACACCACAGTGACACTTCCCCCTCTCTCTCTTCATCTACTTCTTCCAAAATGGTCTTATTTGCAGAGAGAAAAGAAACCCCTCACCTGGTGAGCCCACCACACCATGAGGTAAGAGAATACAGCAATCCAGATGATGGAGCCGAAAAACGTGATGACAAAGAATTTCTTGGAGTCCTGTTAAAAGCAAGTTTGGAAAGAAAAACATGGAGAAGTTTCAGGAAAGTTAACAATCCCCAGTAAAAGTTATTCACCTGAAACACTTCACTGCAATCAATTGTTTTAACATGGACTCTGCTCTCTCTAATTGTATTTCTTTTTTGTCAGCTTGATTATATGACCGATAGTTTCCCGTCTTCTGTGATTTATTAAATTAAGTCTCTGGAACTCTTTATGCTGCAGCTGGGGCTCCTGTCCCACCCCCTGCAGCATTAACAGCACTTCAAGTATGCAAAGACTCGAGACGTGGAAAATTAGAAGCGGGGACTCTTGCCTAGAGGAAATCTATAGTTCAGTTAACGAGCCCAGTAGCAGAAGGAAGACAGATTCTTACTGGGTTTCTAACGTCAGGCATCGTGCTCCAGAGAGGGAAGACAATGGGGAAGAGGAAAAGGTAAATGGCTTGTTTTTTCCTGGTTTCTGGCCATTCGAGCGATAACGGCTCATCGTTTTCTTCATCATCTGTGCTGTCATCATCGCTGTCTTCCTCACTCCCAGAGCTGCTGTCTTCTGAGGTGTTGCTGTCTGAGGAGGGCTGTGGATCAGGGAAAAAAAAAAAAAGCCACTAGGTTGTCAAACTAAGAAGGAGCTGGGCAGCATTTATTCCCCAGGGCCTTGCCTTGGCAGAGGTCACCTTTGTAATGGGGCTGAGGGCAGCCACAGCCCACACCCTGCTACTGCAGGGCAAAACCCAGGCATGACCCCCCTCAGTGCCCGTGCCTTGGGTCAACTCATTTGAACCAATTTTTAGATGGGGTTTTGACACAAATGAAACATTTACTGTGTGTCCTTGAAAAACCTCTCCTCGTCAGAACAGCAAATTACATCAACTGAAAGGAGGGATTCAGGAAAGAAAACAATTGTACGCTGGTGAGTGCTGGAGAGGCAGGTACTCGTGTCTGATGTTGGAGTCACCCTCTGACCTCAGAAGAGTCACTGGAGGAGAAAACACTGTCCAGTGCCACTTGGTGTTATGTTTTGGATCTGATTAGTGTTTGTAAGCAGAAATGTTTCAGCTAACACCGTAATGGATCTTGCCACCACACACTCAGCCTGTGCACAGTTGGTAGTTACAGGAAACGGGTTGGGTCCTGCCCTGAAAGCTCTGGAGAGGGAAGAAGGGAAGTCTCTGAGAAGTTTGGTCTGGACTGAGCACTTATTGCCTTCTCATTATTTAAATACCTGCCCATCCTGCGGTGCGTCTGCCTTCTGTTTGTCTTTGCTGGGTTCAGAGTCACTGGCAGGAGTTACCTGGACGCTGCTTGGTGCCTTCTTTTCCTCTTCTGCTAAAAGTGGTAAGAAGGAACATTGGTTTCAGCATCTTAGTGGCAGGAGGTGGCCTTCCTCTTAAGCAGCAGGGAGGCTTGATCTTCCTATGAGAATATGTGGTGTTTCATGTTGAACCCCCATCTGATGGCTTTTCTGTTTGTCCCCTCTGTCTTCTGTGGACTGTGATTAGTCCAGATTAGTAAAAGCTGGGCAGAATCTGGCCCACCTGGTGCAGAGTGATACCTTGGTGCTCCTATGACCTCTTACTGCTGTAAGAGGCACATGTGTAACAACAGGGAAATGCTAATTATCTGATCTACACCTGGTGAGTGTTTCTTGGTTTCACTCTGTATTCGGAAGATCACATTAACGCCATCCTTAAAAGCCAGAAAGGATGTAAAGCTTTGCTATCCCTTTTTTTTCTAGCAGAAAAAACAGAAAGAACAGCATTCTCCAGGGAGCTGAGATTCTTTGAGGCTTCTAAGAGATGACTGTTATGTGCTGCCAGACTTTAATCCCTAATCGTTTGGGAGGTGTTCAGATGCAAATAGAAGAGTGCTGACACCTACAAGGAAATAACTGCAGTGTCCTCTCTGCTGTCCCCGTGTCAACCTGCGTAGCCAAGAGGGACAAGGACACCTCCGTGCAGGAGGGTGTGGGAATGGGGGTGACAGAGCAGGGGTGAGAGGGGGCACCTGGAGTTTTGCCCAGGCACAGCATGGACCCTTTTCAGGCTGTGGCTGTTGAGCTTAAGGGATCCCCATGGCATGGTTGAGCCTGTCACGTCAGGAGGATCGTATTATCCCATGAATTGTAGTGGGACAGGCTCTTGAATGGTATCTTATCCTGAACTGGGTGAGCTGGTCTGGTATGGAGCTTCACCACCGCGCTAGGGAGCAATCCAGAGGGGAGATTTTTCAGAAATGTCTGTTTTCAGTGAGTCCTATTTGGGATTTCTGAAACCAGGCCTTAAGAAAGTTGATGTGAGATCCTTTCAGCACAAAGTGGGAGACAGAGTGATAATGCTTTGGGCATGTTCACAGCTCTCTGCACCAACCAAGCTTGAGGAACGTGTCACAGGGTGAAAATTCAGTGAAGTCAACGTGTTGATAAACACGCATCCAGAATTTACCTGTTTGTTAAACAGTATTTTCCTCAAGTTTGGTCTCATTCGCGCAGGTGAGGCTCAGTGCTGTGAGGGTGACCGCTGTGCTGCAGCGGGGTGTTTTTGGAGGTGGGACCTTCCACCCAAACATTTGCTTGGTTTTCAGAATCTCCAGCCTGACTGACAGCACAGCCCTGCCCTGTGTGGTGGCACAGGCTGCTGCCTCTGAACCAGCTCAGAAAGCCCCTGTATCAGTAACGACCGTGTGGTGGCACAGGCTGCTGCCTTTGAACCAGCTCAGAAAGCCCCTGTATCAGTAACGATACAGAAAAACCACTAAAAGGGAGGATGCACAGACCCTTACAATTGTTACAGAGTAAGTCAGTGCAGCTTTTCTCTGCAGAGGAATCTTTCGTGCTCTTCTGCAAATGTGCCAAGTTTCCAAGCTAAAATGAAGGTGCTTTGTTTTAACAAATACCTCGTGTTGCAGGGTCTGCCAAAGGTGCAGCACAGCAGCACCCAACTGGTCTGTAATGACCTGACCTCCCCTCTCCCACCCTCCCACTGGCAATTTGTGCTACATCATTGAGGTGCTTTGCATTTGGATGCTCTCACCAACCAACCACTCCTGGACTCCTCCGGGGATGGCTTTGATTGCCCACCGTTGGAGCGTATCGATTGATTTCTGCTGTTCTTAGAGCAGCCATCTGTGACCAGTAACAACAGGAAAGGTGTGTGGGACCCCAGTGTTTCTTTGGCAGCCCTGGGGTGCTGAGTGTGGGGAAGGCGAGGGGGGTTTGCAGCGCAAAACGAAGCAAACTCTTCTTGCACTCACCCTCTGGTTTTGATCCTTGTCCAGCCAGAGTCTCCGCTTTGGCCTTAGCGATGTTGCTCAGGATGTCAACCCTGTCTTTAAATTTTGCTGTGGATGAGGAGGAGACATTTGTCATCAGCTTCACAAAACTCCCCTTTTCCTGCCTTCCCCCAACTCGCGCACACTCTCCCCCCTTTCACAGAATCACAGAATTATCTAGGCTGGAAGAGATCCTCGGGATCATCAAGTCCAACCATCTACCCAACTCTAAAGTTCTTCCCTACACCATATCCCCCAACACCGCATCTAAACGGTTCTTAAACACAGCCAGGGATGGGGACTCAACCACCTCCCTGGGCAGCCTATTCCAATGCCCCAAAATTCTTCCTCCACAGGTTGCAGTCGGCACCCACTTGGGAGTTGTCTTTTTGGCTGGGGCCCTAGGTTTTGGCCGCTGCTGGTTGATCACAGTGGTTATATTTAAATGCTTAGGATCATGGCAATTCTGCCAGCAGTTTGACATGTAACCGATACTTTCCTATTTAAAAGAGAAGGTAGAGGGAAGAGAAATCCTTTCCAGACATTCCGTACAGGAGATGTCTGTACTTCCTAGAAAGAACAGAGGAGGGGGTTTGATGCAATATCATTTTGCTCTCAAAAGACTGCTGTTTTGTTTTTTTTCAGGCTAGGTTATATCCAAGCTAAAAATGACACCTTCCTTCTGCTGTGTGACTGCTGAAGAGGCTTTACTGTGCTGCTTGCAGCCTGGCGACCTGATGGTAAGGAAAAATTAAAAACTTTTACATTCCAGTTACCTAGAAAATTATTTCTCTAAGTATATGTGAGTGTCTCCTCTACTGGAGTTGATCTTCATTCCTGGTATCCAGATTTAACATGGCCCAGGCTACCCAAGAGGTCACCTTCACTGGTGCAGTGGCCAGTAGTGTATTCCTGGGACTGCTGGGGACTCCTTCCACCATAAACCATGCACTGCTCAGCTGCTTTATTGTTGTTTTACTGGGAACTGTGAAACTCTGTCTCCACAGTTAGATGTTGTGCTCAAATATCTTATCTCCTGCTCTCGTTGAAAGTGAGCAAGTCATCGACTCAAAGAAAAGCCTCGTTTTGCTCTAATCTATATATTCTGTTGAGGTCCCTACCCAGTGACTGAGCTGAGGGTCACAGGGTTTGCACGTGGACAGGAGCCACAAGAAATGGGCCGTGCTACGCTTGGCTTGTGTACACGGCTGTAAATTAATTTCCTCTGACAGTTTTATCACACTGATTTAATCTACTGTACTGTTGAGTGTGCAGCCAGAACGTGTTCTTGTCATTTGCCTCAAGGGCAGGGCCCTGTCGCTTTATTCATCGCTGTGATACTGAGTTAATAGAAATAGCAGGTCCCAGGCCCTGAGCCGTGCGGGTAGAGCTGCTGTTCTGAGCTGAACCTCCTCAAAATCAGTGGATTCGGGTCTAAAAAGCTTGACTTTTCCATGCTCCTTGTCAGTATTGAAGCCTGACAGAGGGGATGTGAAGCACTTTGCTTCCTTCCCCCTCTGCTGATGCTAAGCACAAGTGTACCCATCGCTGCAGGGCAACCAAGAGGTGACCCTTGGCTCCCAGTCTCCTCTGGCCCCTGGGCAGCACATCTTTCTGTTCAGCTCTCCCCAGAAGCTGTTGCAAAAGCTTCTGTCAGCAGGGTCAGGGCGGTCAGGCTCAGCCCCAAAGAGATTATATAAATTCAGGCTCCTGGCGTCCTGCCCTCACCCAGGCTGCAGGCTCTGAGCATCCCTCTCTCTCTCAGGATAAACAGATTAGGTCCAGGCCACTATCCGGGTCTCATGAGATCAGCCTCGTTTGAAAAGGTGTTAATTCCCCTGACACACATCTCGGGCAGGAAGGGCTGAGGTTGGAAGAAGGGTTGGCTATAAGCTGGCCAGATCTGCAGGTCAGCAGGGGGAGAAGGATATCTGTCAGCCCAGTGCTGGGGATTAGCTGGGCAGGGCACTGCTGGTGTCCCCAGCTCTCTGGGCTCAGTCCTCCCTGAGGTCTGTGGTCCCCTGGGGAATTCTTGGCTATTAACTCTCTGTCCCCTGCTCTGAGAGCCCATCACAGGGGACGCAGCTGCCTCCAGGGGCCCTGAGATGCTCTTCAGGAAGTTTCCTGTCCCATGGATTGACAGCATCCAAGGCTGGACTTAATGGTGGCAGCTGAGCTTCTACCTTGAGTTTGGTTCTTACGTTTAATTAATTCTGTGCCACTCATATTTAAACTGGCAGGACTAATTTACAACATGAACAGCAGGAAGGATTTTTTCTTTAAAATTTGGCATTGGAGATTCTGCTATTTAAAAGTAGAAGTAAAAAACCAAAATATCTCATGATTCTTTTTGCTCCTTTGTATCACGATTCTCTTAAAACAAGTGATTGGATGCTAATGAAGCAGAGAGAAATTGTAGCTGCCTTCAGTCTTCTAGCTCAACTCAAGCCTGCAATGCTGCCTGCTGCTTTATTCTGGTCTAATTTCCAAAATCATTAGCTCGTTAACTGGGGCACACTAAGGGTAGACAGCTCTGATAACTGCACCGCTGGAGCCTTTTTCTTCGTTCAACAGTAAAAGCAGGCTTCTGGCTTCTTCCCTGTGTGACTAGAGTTTAAAGAATAATCCGATGGTAAGACTGGAGGTTCAAAAATGAGAGGGTTCCTCAGTCTTCCCAAAATCCCTGTTCCCTTTAATTTCCCAACAGTTCCCTCCGGTGTCTAGCTGTAAAAACTTGAAAAGTTCTCAAGCTCTGCTTCTGCACATTTTCAGAGAAAGTGGGGAAAACCCAAAGGTGCTAGAAATTCCCTATTTAAAAATAAGAAAGGCACTTTGAAAAGAAAAGCTTCTATCAAAACTATAATTCAAGATGCAATGTAAATGTTAGAACTTCTAAAGTAAAGTGCCTATTCTCCTGTAGACAGAGAAAAAGACTTAAATAATGATCCCTTCCTAATACAAAAAGGAAAAACCTCAAACATTCTGAACCTAATCCACCGTTCAAATGAGAAATTTTGCTTCACACAAGGGGTGTTGCATTAGGAACAGTGAAAAAAATTTTGTATTTCAGACTTTTACCTTATTTCTAGGACTTCTGGACCTCTGGACATCGGGTTTGGAGGCCCAGTGCTGGCAGGTTTTTTATTCTTGCTGCCCTAATAAAATGCAACTGCAGTGTAAGGAAGGAAACCCTACAGAGACCCTAATTTCAGCAAGTTAAGCTGGAACTGCTGAGCAATAGTTGGCAAGTGGTTCTTTTGTAGAGTGTTCTTTACCACAGCCTCTAAGTGCTGATGCTGCAGGCATTGCCTAGAAGGAACAAGGACCCTTGAGGAAAGATAAATTGCTTTGGGATCATCTTTTATGTTGCAACTTAATTACAGAAATGTCTGGTACGGGAAGGGCTTTGTGGGTGATTGGTGGGAAATAGGCACCCAGCTGTGCCGACAGTACCAAAGGGCTGCAGTACCATCAACACAAAGGCTGAGCCTGCAGTCCTGATGGGCCTTTCAGGTTCAAATCCTCTTTCAGAGTCATCCCAGGGAAGTCATTTCACCTTTTTGGCCAAGATCCTCAAAGCACTTAGGTTTCTCAGTCTATTCATAAACGATTCCTTTTCTCCAGACTCCTTTTTCTTTAGGTACAAATCTATCAGGGTAAGGAGTGTCTCCTACTGGACGCACAGCACCTGGGACACTGATTCCCTGATTTTGAGTGCTGTGCTGTTGTAATATCACTAACTTTCTTTATTGTTACCTTTTCTAAGGAGCTGTATCTGCTCTGGCGGGGCTGAGTGGAACAGGCACGGACCTGGGGCAGAGGTGTTGCCCTTAACTCAAGGGCATCGTTATAACAAAGGGTTTAAGAAATAACAATCTTTTGGGCAGACTGTGGCCCAGCCTGGCACAGTCCCTGCTGTGTTAGACTGGAGTCGGTATGGCCACACTCCCATCTAGTGGCTGCACACCCTGAGACAGGGACTCAAAGGCTGCCCGCCTGAAATGAGAGGGGGAATTGTCTTTCAGAGAAGATCCCCCCGGTCTTGCTTGTTCAATATTCATAAATCGTGCTAATACCGGCCTCTTTAGCAAGGCCAGGGACTCACAGTTGTGTTAAAACCCCCCGGCAGCGTATTCTGGGCTGAGCTGGCTGGGTTAGCACTGGAGGGCTCTCTTTGGCCTGGGTTGGCATCCTCAGGTCCCCCCAACTTCTACTGGGGTCCCAGGATTTCACCAAGCTGAGGACACCAGCCCAGACCAGATGCATGTGCTGGCCCAAGGTAGGAAGGTGCTGCACAAAGGTGCAGGAAGGATAAGAATTTCACTGAATTTCACTGAATTTTTAAGAGTTGGAAGGGACCATAGAGGTCTCTGAGTAGCAGCAGTCCCTCAGGTCCAGCACTTTCTGATGTGAAATGCAATGGCATGTCCTCTAGTAAGATTTTTGTGCTGTTGATACTGCGTTTCGGGGAGACAGGAGGCAAGGGCAGTTGAGCAAATCCTGAAGAGTCGGGCTCTTGTTTGGCTACTCTAAGTAATATCATGGATGCCTTCACTAAAATCTATCTTCTCTGTCTTGCTGTCCTTATCAAGACCCCTTTGTTCCCTGGATCACTCTGTACAGCTGGGATTTTGATCTGGTGCCTTCACTAAAATCTATCAAAGCAGACGCTTCTCTGTCTTGTCCTTATTGAACCTCCTTTGTTCCCTCGATCACTCTGTACAGCTGGGATTTTGATCTGGAGAGTCCTTTTTGTAACCTCTGTGATAGACACGAGAGGTGTTGATCTGCTTAGCTTCAATCTCTCTTTGAATGGACAACAGATAATCTCTTTAGAACAAGTAGGGCAGCGGAGGGGCGGTGCATGTGCTGAGGTAGAAAAGAAAATCTAAAAAATCCTCTTTTTCAACACGTTTCACCATTTCTTGGAAAATTAACCTCCGCTCTGTGTTCGGATTAAGCTGATATAAAGCAGCACGTTAAAAGTTTGTGTACAAAGACCCCGGGTCTGTCTGGAGAGTGGCTTCTCTGCACCCTGGGCACTCTAAAAGGTGTCTTAGTCCTGAGCTGACCAGCCCTTGGCCCTGGGGAGTTGGCCCACCGCCTGCAGAGTGCTGTGGGTACAGTTTACCTTGGCAGTGATGATACTGCAGTGTTGCAGGTGGGCTTCCAGAGGTGCTCAGTGTTGGTCCAAATCATATATGGATTGGCTTAACCACCATAATTGGAACCTGCTGGGTGTTTCAGGTCTCAGCTGGGATTTTAACCACTGTCAAAATTATAATTCTTCAAAGGTTTTAACTTCTTTTTCTTTAGGTTTATACCTTGTGAGGGGCTGCGTGCACAGCTGGGGAGGTGTATGGGTAATGAGCTCTCCCCATGTTCATTTTCCCATTGTAAATGAGACTGAAAGGTTGAGCAGTTCTTTCTCAAAAATGTGCACAGCTGGGGAGGTGTACGGGTAATGAGCTCTCCCTGTGTTCATTTTCCCATTGTAAATGAAACTGAAAGGTTGAGCAGTTCTTTCTCAAAAATGCAGTCAGCATTGAATGCTGCTGTTGAAGGCCAGGGTGAGCTAAGAGAAGGAAGGATGATGTGACGTCCTATGAGATGGAGGAAGCCTGTAACTTGTGTTTGCTATGCCTGCTGTCAGAGGGACAGCAGAAGATCATGGAAGCATAGAATGGTTGGTCGGAAGGGACCTCTGGAGATCATCTAGTCTAACCCCCTGCCAAATCAGGTCCACCCAGAGCAGGTTGCACAGGAACATGTCCAGGTGGGTTTTGAATGTCTCCAGAGATGAAGACTCCACCACCTCCCTGGGTAGCCAGTTTCAGGGCTCTGCCACCCTCACAGGAAAGAAGTTCCTCCTCATGGACCTTAATTAAAGATTATCTAGTTCCAACTCCCCCTGCCCTGGGCAGGGACACCTCCCACCAGACCAGGTTGCTCAAAGCCCTATCCAGCCTGGCCTTGAACACCTCCAGGGATGGGGCAGCCACAGCTTCTCTGGACAATCTGTTCCAGTGCCACCCTAATGGGGGACTGCAGTGACCACCACTGCTTGGAGGGACCATGGCAACAGAACCTGCTCCACATCCCTCCTCCAGCAACAGCTGCCACCACAGCAGTAACCGGTTTGGCCCAGGCAAAGTAGATATAGCAGAGCTGAAACGTGAGTGTTTGTCCTGGCTAGCCCCAGGATCAGAAGAGGTATGTCCCACCACCACAGAGCTCCGCCCACCTGATGTTATCTGTGATACTCAAGAGCTGCATTTCAAGGACGAGTTGCTGATCCCCAACCCCCTGACATACAAAGGCTCCATTCCCAGTTAAACTGCCCCACGATCCAGGCTGCAAACCCAAGTCCCTCGGATGTGGAGCGTTCACTCACCTTCTCCCAGGGGGTCCAGGGTGTGGATCATGAGTTGGAAGATGGTGTTCCGCATTTGAGAGTTGTGTAGGGAGGCTGAACTGCTGCCTCGCTGCAAGGCTGATCCTGGCTATGGAAAGGTACAGTGCAGCAGTCAATAGCAGTTTCCTCCCCAAAACACGTCCACCCTTGGTTCACCTCTGCCCTGAGGACACATTTACATGGAGGCTGATCTCCCCAACCCAAGGAGCAGCCTCAGCATGGATTTTAAACAGCCTCTGCATTCAAATTCACAGGATGGTTGTCAGTACTGACTGTTCACAGCAAGAGACATGCTCTTGAGATGACAGGTCAACCCATCCTTAGATAAATGCAATGAGCTTGCACAGACTCGGCATCAACACAATGTTATTATAATAATGAAAGCATGCAGTGTTTTTAGTTATAAACTTATGACTAGATGTATATGCTGCTACAAGGTAATGCTACGGTCATGTCAGGTGTCCTGACTTAAACTTGAAAGCTTTGGTGCTCTGTTCTTACAGTCAACTCCAGAGTACTAATGAGCTTTTGACTGAGCATTAATTAATACAGGTAGGTTAAGCGCATAGAGGAAAAAGTAGGATCCGCATGAGGAAGCCAACACCTGTATGTTCATATGCAGCTACTACATCAGATAGGCCTCTCGGTACAATGGCTGGCCAAAGGGCCACCAGTTTAACCAGGAGCAGAGGAATGAGCTCTCCAGTGTTCGCTACGGGGAAGGACAGACCCTACCAGCCCCTGCTCTGGGAGCCCCGGGGGAAAATTGGCCATGAAACCAGGTAAGAAAAGTCATGCTCTGAATTTCTGTGTGCCTGTTTAAAGCATAGAATGACTAGCACTCTGCCAGGCAAATCCACTCGGGAAGCCTGAAGTGTCTTTTAATTTTTATAAAAATGCCTTTGAGGACACAACTCAGCCAGGTGTCCTCTTAAGTAAGCTGTGGATATCGTGCCAAGCATGGCTGGTTCTTTGCACAAATTAGGATTTGGCCCAGGTTTCTTGACACAGAAGTTCACACCTTTATTCATGACCTGGCACGGGGAGGGGTTCAAAATGCATTAACTTTGGATCCCTGTAAATTTGCTTGGACCTACCTGCAGCCTCCTCCCATCTGCTGGCTTCTTTGTTCCATCATCCGCAACTGCCCCACTGCTTTTCTGTGTGCAAGCAAGAACAAAAACCATTGAACACCACCACGGCTTATCCTGACAAAGCAGGTGATAATGATAACTCTTCAGGCCAGTGTCTGTGAGGAAGTGAGACATCTATTACAAATGACCACTCGGGGATGGTACTGAAAGAGCCAAAGCCACGTGCTCTCCTTAAAACCATGTGGCTTTCAAGAACAACAGGGTTCTACCTGCAGCTCCTCAGTGAGGATGCAGGTAACTGGAGATGGACTCAACTGGTCTCTACCATCCAAATTCTGTAGGTATAGGTATATATAGGCAGCCCCAGATTTCATCCCCAAACACCTGTATCCTTACTCATTTTCCAGCAGAGGCAGAGTGAAGATGCAATGGGCATGAAGAAGATGCATCCAGCCATCAGCCTCACTTTCCATACAGGTAATTTATTTTTCCAGCTCAGCAGAGGCAGAGTGAAGGTGCAATGGGCTATTTTTTTTTCCCAGCCATCAGCATTACTTTCCATACAGGTAATTTATTTTTCCAGCAGCCCTCTGTCATACACTAGTGAGAGCTTCCTGTAAACTTGGAGGGTTTTTTCTCCTTCAGTCTGAAGGGCTGGATTCAATTTGTGCTGATTGGTGATGCCCACAGTGATGGATGTGTTATAAGCTGCAGTGTCTTGCACATGAATCCCACTGGAATCTAAGACATGAGCTTTCAGGACTCCCAGCCTCAAGCCCTGGCTGAAAGACAGACCAGGAGGAGGAAAGAAAAGCACTTTCTGGATTCTGCACCACTTCAACCATCCTCATCCCTCCTCCTTTCTTACCTTATATTATGCAAAGGGAGTGCCGAGACCAGGAGGGGCAAAGCATGTTTAAATGCCAGTGACACACATCTGACTAGTAAAGTGTGCCAAAGCCAGAGGACAACTTGAAATCTAGTGGTCTCTGCTCAACAGTTGGCAGGTAAGAGGCCAAAGAGGAAAGCTGGGGAGGGACAGAGGAGGGAGAAGTGGGCAGGCGCATTCAAGAAGACAAAGTCCCAAGTGTTCTGGAGGGCATGTCCTGCAGATCTGCCACTCTGAAAAGGTAACTGCCTCTGGGGACAACTTCAAACACCGTCTTTGAGTAAGCAGTTAACTTAAGGCCAGAGGACAATTTGAAATCTAGTGGTCTCTACTCAACAGTTGGCAGGTAAGAGGCCAAACAGGAGAGCTGGGGAGGGACAGAGGAGGGAGAAGTGGGCAGGCGCATTCAAGAAGACAAAGTCCCAAGTGTTCTGGAGGGCATGTCCTGCAGATCTGCCACTCTGAAAAGGTAACTGCCTCTGGGGACAACTTCAAACACCGTCTTTGAGTAAGCAGTTAACTCTGGCTTCAAAAGCCAGTGCGTGAAGGGCCCTGCTCTCAAATCTGGAGGGTTGTAGTTACACCCTGCCTGCACACCGGTGGCATAGGGAATTGGGTCTCTGAGCACACGTAGCTGTGGTCAGCACATGGAAGGAGGATTTGGTCATTTCAACCCTGGTGCCCAGACACCGTCTGGGAGAGGTGGCAATGGTTGCTAAAGGCTGCCACATCTCTGAAAGGGTAACTGCCTCTGGGGACAACTTCAAACACTGCCTTTGAGTAAGCAGTTAACTCTGGCTTCAAAAGACAGTGCGTGAAGGGCCCTGGTCTCAAATCTGGAGGGTTGTAGTTACACCCTGCCTGCGCACCGGTGGCATAGGGAATTGGGTCTCTGAGCACATGTAGCTGTGGTCAGCACATGGAAGTAGGATTTGGGCATTTCAACCCTGGTGCCCAAACACTGTCTGGGAGAGGCAATGGTTGCTAAAGGCTGCCACATCCCCTTCTGTGCCGCAGATCGGGTAACAAGTGACACCACCAGTGCCCCAGCAACACACCCCACTTCAGAATGGGAAAAGAGAATTTCTGCCAACACCTCTCATCTGTAAGAGGCTTGGAAAGCACCTCTTACCAGAAGCCTTTTTTCCTCTATTTAACCCAGAATTGGCCAATCGGACTAACAATGTGTTCCTGTAAGTGTTGTTTTTTTTCTAAACTCCTTTACAACAACCAAGTGAGCAAAATCCCAGGCATGTTTTTGAAAATAGGTAAGTGACTGCAACTGGTATCTTTCGTAATTGCAAGGGTAGAACTCCCTCTTAGTGGTGTTCTCTAATTTCTTAGAATCTCTACTATCCAGATTGCGTTTCCCTCATTTTATAACCATAATTATTGACCAGTACCTGTATTCTGAGGTTTTGTTTGAACATGCACTTTGTGAAGGAGATGCAGTTTTTTTTCTTTGTGGTTTACGCTAGAAGGAATGATTTCCAACTTGCCCTCTGAACAATAAGGACACCAACCTTCCGTATATGCTCTGCTGATGCTGCCTGCACAGCATGTAGCTTCTTGTTCAGCTCCCTAAAGGCTGCCACATCCCCTTCTGTGCTGCAGATCGGGTAACAAGTGACACCACCAGTGCCCCAGCAACACACCCCACTTCAGAATGGGAAAAGAGAATTTCTGCCGACACCTCTCATCTGTAAGAGGCTTGGAAAGCACCTCTTACCAGCAGCCTTTTTTCCTCTATTTAACCCAGAATTGGCCAATCGACGTAGCTGTGGTCAGCACATGGAAGGAGGATTTGGTCATTTCAACCCTGGTGCCCAGACACCGTCTGGGAGAGGTGGCAATGGTTGCTAAAGGCTGCCACATCCCCTTCTGTGCTGCAGATCGGGTAACAAGTGACACCACCAGTGCCCCAGCAACACACCCCACTTCAGAATGGGAAAAGAGAATTTCTGCCGACACCTCTCATCTGTAAGAGGCTTGGAAAGCACCTCTTACCAGCAGCCTTTTTTCCTCTATTTAACCCAGAATTGGCCAATCAGACTAACAATGTGTTCCTGTAAGTGTTTTTTTTTTTTTTTTTAGGACTAACAATGTGTTCCTGTAAGTGTTGTTTTTTTTCTAAACTCCTTTACAACAACCAAGTGAGCAAAATCCCAGGCATGTTTTTGAAAATAGGTAAGTGACTGCAACTGGTATCTTTCGTAATTGCAAGGGTAGAACTCCCTCTTAGTGGTGTTCTCTAATTTCTTAGAATCTCTACTATCCAGGTTGCGTTTCCCTCATTTTATAACCATAATTATTGACCAGTACCTGTATTCTGAGGTTTTGTTTGAACATGCACTTTGTGAAGGAGATGCAGTTTTTTTTCTTTGTGGTTTACGCTAGAAGGAATGATTTCCAACTTGCCCTCTGAACAATAAGGACACCAACCTTCCGTATATGCTCTGCTGATGCTGCCTGCACAGCATGTAGCTTCTTGTTCAGCTCCTGCTTCACCCATTGTTCTAGGTACACGTTCTGTTTCATAGTGAATACATATGTGGCATAGGCAGTCAGTAAAAGGAGGCTTTCCCACCAATCAATGACACTGTCTAGGAAAAACAGGATGAGCATCAGTAAGTCTACAATGTAGAAGGAGATGTCTCTAAATAAGGGCCACCATGTCAGGTGGAGTATCTCCCTTGAGAAGAGGGCACAGGTGCCAATGACAAAGAGGATATTAAACACCGCTGAGCCCACAATGGTACCGATGCCCACATTGCTGTGTGAGATGAAGACACCTATGAGGGAGGTGAAGAGTTCTGGTGCTGATCCACCTGCTGCCATGAAGGTGGCTCCAGCCACATCTTCAGAGATCTGCAACTTCTCTGTGATCACTCCCAAAGCAGGGACAAAATACTCATCACACACTATGGCCAAGGCCACAAATACATACATCATGCCAAAGATGTGAAGTACAACCCACCCTTGCCTGCGTTCTTCCACACTGAATAGGTCCTGGGGATATTCTCCTTTGGACTCGTGTGGTCGCTTTTCATCAGGGAAGCTTTCACTGATGTTTTCTCGCTGTGGTGTTGTAGCCACTGATGTAGTGACGGGCACAGTTGGCTCAGGATCCACATATACACAGTGCCTTATTTTGGGTGCTGCTGTGACATTGCCCGTTACGGCAGTCTTGTTGCTGGAGAGGTCCCTGGAGGTGACTTTCCCAGGGTCTGTGGGTGGGGGTGCTGTGTGTGGTGCTGGAAGGGCAGAGGGGCTGAACTGGAGCTGATAGAGAGAGAGGACCAACACTATGGCAAGCAAGAAAAAGATTCGGTTCCGTTGTAGCCGCCTCCTCCGTGGTAAATGCATTTCCTAAAAGTTTAAAAATCAGGGCCGTGTCCAGAAGCCACTGAAGACTTCTCTTGATCAGCAGTTTGCACTTATATCCACCATTGGAGTTTCGAGCTGATCTTAAGCATCAGGAGTGAAACTGCATGACACAAAGTGTAGAATCCTGCAAAAGAAAATCTGGTGTAAAAAATAAAGTACTGCAACTTTCCACCATTTGGGTAACATTACTTCACTGACTGCTGCTCTATTTTTCAATAGAAAGAAATGGACTTAAATGACTAAAATCAGATCTAGATTCAGGTTTCAGTCTTTTCTTCTTTTTTTTTGGTCACTGTAGGCTCTGCTGCTTGATAAACATGGGTTTGGCTTAAATAGAGAGGAGCTGGATGAACAGCCCAGTCTGAGCTGAATTCTTATTCCACCTAATTCCCATATCCAGGAGCTATTAAGGTTTGTGTTTTCACTTGGGTCCTGGTGTGATTCTGTAACATCAACGACTGGGTCAGCATTCTGCGGGAGGAGAGGACACGGCTTCTGTCAAGGAACCTACTTTAAATTGCTAGAAAAGATGACGCTCTGAAGACAAGATCATGCTACTAAAACCTCCCTCCAAACAGACACGTTAATTCACCGAAGTAACCTCAACAGGAGGATGAAAAGTGCTCGACAGTTCCTGGCTCTGCTGCTCTGTGCTCTCCAGCCTTGATTCCCACAGAATACAAACCAGAGGTGAGCTTTTCTCTTTCAGCTTGAGGAAGACTTGGCTCTAGTAAAACTGAGGGTGCCAAATATCCGTTTGTTTCTATGACTACATCTTTTCAAGCCTCTTTGTAGAAATCAGAACTGGCAAAGTGGAACTGTAATCATACCTTTTATTAGGGGTAATTAGCATATCTCGCATAATTATTTGAACAGCATTTAGAAAGGGAGAGAAATTGTACGTGCCAGAGTGACAGAGCCTACAGCTGTGACAGCGTGGAGACAGTGATTTGGGGCCGAACAGAATTTACCCTTCAGCACTGGATGAATGTTTTGCCTTAGAATATTGCTCTTGATGGATTTATGTTTTTTTTTTTCCCCAGAGTGAGAATGTTACATTATACTTGAGCTGGATGTGAATCACAGTTTTGTAAGCCATTCTCAGATAAGCTCTTCATGCAAGTTAGTACACACTTACCCTCTTGCATAACACCCAGTGAAGTAATCAGCCTAAATTTCTTGCAAGACAGGCATTATTATCTTCTTTTAAATAGTTGGGAGGATCACTAAGGCAACAGTAATAGAGGGTCATGGGAGTACCTAGATAAATAGACGATACAAGCTTTGCTTTTCATATGTAAAAAGAACACGAACATGCATATGGCAGAATCTCATAATATAATATGTGTAACAAATTGCACATTATTAGAAAATAACCCCTTCCTAGTGAGGATAAGAGAGTGAAATGAATGACAGAGAACAGAAGACATATGTACACACCCCTACTTAAGCGCTGTTTTTATTCCTCCTCTCCAAAACGAACTGCCTAGGAGACTTTTTGCAAGCAGAAACATATCCAAAGCTAGGATCAGTTGTGAGAGCTCTCTGGCCTTTCACAATGCCTGACCATCAGCCTCTGTGTTTCTCTAGTCTTCTAAGTTTAGTGGTTCTTTTCCAGAGTGCATTGCCTCTTACTCCTGATGAACTCCTTTCTTACTCTCTCAGTTTTAAGAGACCTGAAGCAATCAAACAAACCTCCCCAGCTTACCTTCCAAAGATGCTGCCCAAGGGGAAGAGGAGTACCGATGGTGGAGCGTACTGCTGGAGGCTTCTTTGATGCAGAACAGCCAGGTGGGAGATGCTGTTGCAGAGAGAGGCAGATGAAAATGATCCCATTTTCACAATGTCTCTGCTAGTGGAGTTCTAATACAAGAAAGGGTCAGGTGTGAAGGTCATATTACTGGAGGAATAGCCAATCCAGTTTAATACCTGCAGTCCCTAAGAAGATTAAATAGTATTGTATAGATTTGAGTCTATCTCCGAAGCCAATATCTTTGTCTGGTACTACAGGTTATTCTCGGTATGAGGGCAGGCGATTATCTCCATTACACCCTTCCAGATGAAAGCACCAGCTGTGAGACACGTACCATTCTCACAGCAGCTACGGAGGCAACTCAGGCTGGAGCAGTGGACACGGAACAAGACAACCCACACATAGCTGCGTTTCGAGGCATCTCATACTGCTGACAGGCCAGACGAGCGGCTCTGCTGGCCCTTGCCATGATATGAGCCTACTTTGCAATGCCAGACGGAAGTTTAAAACTCGCTGTCTCCTGGAAAAAAACCTCTCACCCATGGGGGTGGCAGAGGGAGGGATGCTCAGGGCCCGGTCCCTGGCTGGCCCAGCAGCCCAGGGTGCCCTCAGGAGCTGGTGGTGGCACAGGGCAGCTCCACCATGGACGAAATAACCACCTTCCTGGCCAAAGATTTCACGGGTCTGAAAAATCCACTCACCAGGGGAGTAGAAACAATGATTTGATAAGTTTAAAGCCAACTGTTGTCTGGATAGGCAGCTTTGCAGGAGTTTTACACCCCAGCTTTGCAATGGTGTTTATTGAACAGCCCCCCTACCCCTGCTCCCCTGGTGCCCACAGCTGGGACGAGGAGGCCCGCCAGCCAGTTGGGATGCTTTTCCAGATACTGGCATCTAACTGAACTGCTTTCCCTCACGTATGCAGTATTACAGACTTATCTTTCTACTGCTGAAAATGCCGTTTCTCCCACTGCTCCCTGGGCCGGCCCTGTGTGGAGAGCCTGCCGGGGGCTGTGTGGAGGGGTGCGATGGGGCTGTGTGGGGAGCCCGCCCGGCCCCTTCTCCACCGGGGCTGTGTGGAACGGTACCCGGTGCTGTGTGGAGAGGTGCCCGGGGCTGTGTGGGACGGTACCCGGGGCTATGTGGAACGGTACCCGGGGCTGTGTGGAGAGCCCGCCCGGCCCCTTCCCGCCCCAGCCGCGGCGTTCCGGGGGGGACGCTTTCCGCGACGGACCCATGGCGGCACGGCAGACCGGGGGTGAGCCACACCGTTTCTCTTCCCCCTCTCTCCTCTCTCATTCCCCCGGAACACCCCGGGCTGGCTCCGGGGGCCGTCTCTCAGGCCCCGCCGAGGAGGAAGGGTTGGAAGTGTGTGTGTAGGGGGGACCGGCTCCCTGCTGGGGGTTCCCGGGCCTCTCCTCGGCTCTCGGGGTTCCCCGGCTACTCCCTTTCCCCCGTCGAGGCTCAGCCCTGGCCGCGCTCGCCGTTTCCAGGCCGTTGCAGCCGGTTGGAGATGCTGCGTGTGGTTCGGGAGCAGAGCTGTTGACTTAATCTGCACTAAATCCCACTTTTTTAAGGGTAATTGTCACTTGCCCCGCCGCACGGTGGGGTCAGCGGGAGAGGGGGAGATGCGTCGCCTCGTAACTGTGGCTTCAATAATAATGTGTGGCCTGTTTCTTCCCCCTCCGTGCAGCGGATCACCGTTCTCTGTGGCAGTAGCAGGGAGGAGCAGCTCATCATGCCGACGGTGGTGGTGATGGACGTGTCGCTCTCCATGACCCGGCCGGTGTCGGTGGAGGGCTCGGAGGAGTACCAGCGGAAACACCTGGCGGTGATGGACGTGTCACTCTCCATGACCCGGCCGGTGTCAGTGGAGGGCTCGGAGGAGTACCAGCGGAAACACCTGGCTGTCCACGGCCTGACCATGCTCTTCGAGCACATGGCCACCAACTACAAGCTGGAGTTCACGGCCTTGGTGGTGTTCTCCTCGCTCTGGGAGCTGATGGTGCCCTTTACGAGAGATTACAACACGCTGCAGGTAGGGTGCCTGAAACACAAAAGCAGAAAGCTGCCACTGTTAAAAAAAAAAAACCAACCAAAAACCAAAAAACCACCAAATCCCCACGCATGTTTCGAACTCATGGAGAAATTGTATGATTTCATATCATCCTGTTCACGGTGTCTTGTGTGGAGGGCTTTACCCTTATTTTAAGGGTAGGTGAAATCAATGCATTTGAAAAGTTTTGCTGCTTCACAAATCTTACCTTGCAGGTGACCTCTGGAGCGTGATTAACTAAGTTAAAAGTGGGGGTGGGAGAAAGGGCTGCCTGATGAAGCTCTTAAAAATGCTAGTGGTTCTGTGACATTCACGTTTTTCTCTGTAGTTGTTGATTTGCTCTTGATGAATGATGCAGCAGAAAGGACCATTTAGAAAGGTTTTGAGTCAAGTGATTTGGTAGAGAGAAAGAAGGCGCTTTTAAGAGTATTTAGCAGTTGAAGCGGGTCAAGAATGAGAATAAGTGATTTTAGGCCTCGCAGATGTGGTGGGAATTGGGGAGAAAACGGGAAGGAGAAAGTCCAAGAAGGAGATTTCATACGAGTGCAGTAAGGCACTGAAAGTCTCTGAAGCCAGTAAAAATTGTACATGTGTGTCTGGTTATCATATGTAATACCAAGAAAGATCAATACATCGCTGTCACAAGGTACCATGTTCTAGGTTTGTCGAGTGTGGGACATGCAGATTTTAAAATATATTCTCTGTTACATATGCATTTTAGCAGATGAATTCTCTTTCCAGAGAGAATTCGTCAGAGTGCATTCTCTTTCCTTTATTTTTCCCTCCCTGAGAGTTCATTTGAGGAATTTCTGAAAGCCAAGAATGCAGATAAGCTCCTCTGGCACGTTAGTTTTACAGCTGCACCCTGCTTACGATCCTGTGTTTAAGTTTGACATTTTCATTTTAAGGAGAAAAGCGGGTTTATGCTGATAGAAACAAGATGTGGATATGAGTTTTGGATTCTGTTATTCTCTCTACCAAAGAGTCTTTGTGAGAAAAGCTCCTTGTGGCCTACTTTCTGAACCTCTAAGAAGTTAAAGTTGCTCTGATACCTGGGAGGATTTTCTCCTAAATGTTTCATGGTAGACATTGCTTCAGATTTTGACTTTACTGTTTCTTTGAGGCATGCAAGGGATTTTTTTTTTTCTCCCAAAAAGCTGTGTTTATAATATTATAGTTCCTTCAAAGTCAACTGTCGTCATCTCATGACAACGATGCTCACTATTTCTTATACCTTTCTTTCTTTTCCACAGAACTGCGAATATCTTTTCTATATTTCCTGATAGTGCTGTTTCACCCAACAACAACAGTGATGTTTGTCTTTGCAGGAAGCCCTGAGTAACATGGATGATTATGACAAAACCTGTCTAGAGTCAGCGCTGCTGGGGGTTTGCAATATTGTCCAGCAGGAATGGGGTGCAGCAATTCCTTGCCAGGTACGACTGGTTTCGCTGTTCTTAGAATCTAGGTGTTTACTTAGTACTGGAAATGTAATTTGGAAACTTTGAATATGCTGAGGCATGCTGGTGCTACAGGGAGACAAAAAAAATTAGTATTTTGGATCTATCTGGAATATGAACAGGTGATCTTTATTAAAGTATTCAGCAGCAAAAAGCTAGACTGCTTCCCGTCCAATGTGTTACTGTGGTGGAGTGGATTATAAAATCTGGCCCAAGAATACTATTTTAGAGGCTTGGTATTTGATCTGGATGCAATCTTCTGTCCCAGGAGCCTCACTCAGTTTGGAAAGGGTATAGCCACACATACAGTAGCCTTTCTCCTCCAGTACCTGATGGTTTCCAAGGCTTGTAAGAGTTCCAGGTCTCAAGCCACAGCGTGGGACTACTACTGAGTCTGTTTTCATCTGTCTTCTTTCCCTAATGAGTCATTTGGCATGTGTTTGCTCATGAACTCCATCCAGACCTTGCAGCCCTCAGCCTTCTGAATTTTCTGCCTCTTATGGCAAAATCTGCTTTTCGTGTTCAGTTTCCTTAGACCCTTAAGAGCCTATTGCTCTGGGTTAGGATTTAAGTTCAGTAATTTTGCAGCTCAGTGACCTAGGAAGATGTCTCAAGCAATATTCCTTAAGGAGAAAAAAGAGAGAGGTTTATTGTATAGGAAATGCTTCTTAATCCTAACAGGCATAAAAGGCACCTTGAAAAAGCAGACATTCTGAGCAAAGAACTAGAAAGATGTAAAAACCAAACATAGATGAGACCTCAACAATTTGGTCTCTCACTTGTGTCACGGCTCATTTTACTGGAACTTCAGGTGATGGGGTGATGAAAGACAGTGGGGAATGTACTGTGCAGGGTCTTGAAATAGTGAAAAACACTACGGGTGAGCAACAGTTCAATTGGTAACCAGAGAGACTGTGAAACAGAGAGACTGAGGATGAAGAGAGAATACAAATCTGGATGTAGCAAGTATACATTGATTTCAATTGGATTTGATTTTCCTTACTTCTCAGCCAAGAATAATGCTGTGCATTGTTGAAGGAGCAGCTCTTTTACTACCCTGGAAATGATAGGGTCTCAGCTGAGTGTAAATTGTTCCATTATTCAGCATAACCTATTAGCACAGGTTGCTACAAGGACTGACTTTGGACATGCAACCAAATGGAAAAATGCATATTTTTGCTTTAATAGTTCTGCGGCAAACTACTGCTGCTGTATTTCTTTGCAAAGAAACAAGGTAATTAATACTACATTCTGTACGGCTTCTGTGGCTTGTAGTGGAAGTTGGGTTGCCCTCCAGATTCTGCAGAAGAAATGGGCTTTACCTTCCATCTGAAAATAAGCCTGAAGTTCTTGGGTCCATCAGCATTGGGCTGATTTTTGGCTGTATAGTCACTGCTCTTGTAGTGTACACTTAAAAGTGGCCACATTTATGCCCAGCACGGTGTGTTTCTGGCTATGAAACTTATATTTTAGTGCAATTGCCTAATTACAGCAAAATTTGTATTTAGCATGCACACAGTTTAAACTGCAATGCTTAAATCTTCCATTTCTCATTTATGTTCCTGTGGCTGGATTCTTTCCCCAGCCTGGGGGAGGAAATCCCCGTGTGAGCAGGGATTTTGGGTACGGAAGTGCGTGCTGCTGGGAAGGCTGTTAAAGTGTGTCAGCATGTAGTTGCCCTCTGCAGATAGAAAGGTGTCTTTAGGTGGAAATGCTAATTACCCTCTGTCATTCCAGGTTGTTCTTGTCACTGATGGCTGCCTGGGGATCGGCAGAGGCTCCCTGCGCCACTCGCTCGCTACTCACAGCCAGCGAAGTGAGAGCAACCGCTTTCCGCTGCCTTTCCCCTTCCCGTCCAAGCTGTACGTCATGTGCATGGCAAATCTCGAAGAGGTGATGTCTTTAACACATACCTTCTTCTTTCTTGCATTGGATAATTATTGGTCTTCCCTGAACTAATGATCAGGTCAGCACAAAACACGCTTTGATGTTCTTGTGCTTAAAGTTTAGTTGACATTCCAGTACTTTGCGTTAGCTCTTTGGTGAAATATAACTGTAGTGTCTTTTTTAAAAGTTTATTATTGTGCTACTATTATGCATTATTACCATAATCTTTATAAATCATGTCAGTTTCTCTCTAGGGAATATTATGCAATTTTTATTTCTCTGTTTATGTTATTGCTGCATTAATTACATTGAATGCTCTTGTGGGCTTTTCTTAATCTACTGTTAAATTCTGGAATAAATGACTTCTATTGCAAAGGCGCTCAACACTTAAAACAAGAGTAGCTTTATGTAGAAATGTGAGTGAGCAAAATTCTGCAAGCTGGTGTTCAAACCAGCTTCCTTTAGTTTTGAAGGAAAGGTGACTGTTTTCTTTCTCTTCAGGTCCCTTTGAAAATCTCAGTGCCACTTTTAAAAATCTTCACAAGAGTTAGAATTCTGTTGAACAAAAAACATTTAAAAAGAAGCCTGTATAGACTAAAGTTCCTTAGATTGGATTTTATTAATAGCATTGCTTTTAACTTGATACCTGTGTTCTTCTGTCCATCACAGAAGGATTTTCTACTTAGGGATGCAATAGATATTTCACTTCAAGGTCTCTATCAAGGATGAGCCTCTCGATTAAGCTGATGGATTGAAGCATTGTTTACACATCAGAATAACTGGGAAAACGTTTGGAATAAATCTTCTATTACTGATAAGTTTAGGTGCTTTCACAAGCATTCTCTAAGAAGGTCTCAGAAAGAATTATATCTGCCTTCTCTCCTAAAAATTTTATTATCCTGAAGGAGCTGGAAACAGCATTATCAATGGAATGTTACACTAGTTAGGACATTCCTGTACTCTGGAAGACTGAGAACTTCTGGGATTTTTGGTTGCTTGAACCTGCTTTCAAAAGCAGAACTTAACATGATAAAGCAATGTATTGAGAGTTGGACGTGTGAATCCTTATGGGTCCCTTCCAGCTTGAGATACTCTATGATTATTTGTTACTAGGCCAAATGCTGCATCTGGTCTAACTTTAATGCACCGTAAGGACATTTCCCATGAGAACAAGAATGTTGGTTTATTCAGAAAGGAGTGAGACAACAAAAACTCACGATAGCATCCAAACAGATGCCTTTTGCTGTGTTGTCTGTATTTTCTGAAAACATACTGGTTAATAAAAAGAGAGCAAAATGAAAACTTAATAAAACCATTTCACTTTATTTTTTTTACAGCTTCAAAGCACAGATTCCTTAGACTGTCTGGAACGGCTCATAGATTTAAACAATGGGGAAGGGCAGATTTTCACCATTGATGGACCCCTTTGCCTGAAGAATGTACAGTCTATGTTTGGGTCAGTAGACTTGTAGATAATGTGCCTTTGTGAAGGTTTCCAGTTAGTATCTGTAAAAGAAAACAAATATAACAGGAAACCTGATGATATGGGGTGTTCTAATTAACCTTTTTTTCTTTTAGTTTATGTCTTGTTAGCTGTATTTTCAGTTCACTGGTTAAGGTCATTATTTGTTTTAATCATTCTGTAACAAACCATAGTGTCTGTTTATGATTGGCAGATAGAAGATACTGTTTCTATAATTATTGTTAGTTTGCCATTAGTGTGATAATATGCTTCTTTGTTTTGTAATTTAGCAATGCTAGAACTATTGAATTAACTGTAGTTAAAAAAAAAAAAAAAGTTCTGTGTTAAGTTAATGTGCTTTAGAGAAAATATTTTCATTTGATAAGTATTATGCTTTCCTTAATAATAACTGATTGTGTTCTAGAAAGCTAATAGACCTGGCTTATACACCATTCCACGCTGTTCTCAAGTGTGGCCACTTAACATCTGATGTGCAAGTATTTCCGAGACCAGAACCTTTCATAATAGATGAGGAAATAGACCCCATCCCTAAGGCAATTAATACAGGTAACAGATCTTTGGTTACTTTTTTACTTAAATCCACTTGATTTCTACCTTTTCACTACCACCTCTTATCCTGTACAGTTACTGTTTCATCCACTTACTCCCTGAAAGCATCATTTACAGACTGTGTAATTTTTTGGTGTATGTGGCATCAGGGGACAAGAACATCACCTTGTTTCAGCCCACGTGTACCTGGTAGAAGGGCTGGAGTTGGGTAGAGGCACTTTCAAAGCTCAGGATACCTATTTCTAGGGGCAAGGACTGTGGAAAACAGCCACGGGCTGCTTTCCATAGATACCCTCATTAGCTTCAAGGAGGACGGGAGAGGTGTATTGCAGAAGGGGCTGCATTTTATGTTAGAGTTGCCTTTATCAGAAAGACCATGCATTATCAGTTGAGACAAATTAGCATCTTTCTGAAGTTTTCTTCAAGGAGTCCACTAGGAGTGGAGTTGAGAAGAATTGGTGAGGCAGCACAAACAGAGGTTGAGATTTATGAAATCTGTCTTTATAGTTTGGCTGTCATCCTAGCGCTTCTTACCAATACTAAGTTCTTTTTAAAAACAACTGTGCAAAGAAAACCTTTCTCAGCCTTCCCGTGCTATTTGTGACTGCAAAGAGAGTGACTTGATTAGATCATGTATCCGGATGGCCTTCTGGATACTTTCATGAGTTTTTAACTCTACTGGCAATTTCATTTCCTGCATCTGGCCTGGAGACTTCCTTTTTTTACTGTTTACAAAATGTGCACAGCTTGCGTGTGAATAAGGATACGATAGTGGTAAAATTTGGCAAGGAGGTGAACTGCAGCCTATAAATTACTGCCACCAAGATTGCCTTGATTTGTGTGGGTTTTTTTTTAAATCTGCCAGACAAAAACCATTTCTCGTCTGGGGTGTGACCACTTCTTATTTGTAGGTGCATACTATTTAAATAAGAATGAGTGTGTCTGTACCAAAACAGGAAATTATATGAAAAAGAGCACGTGTGCGTCTTTAGGAGGGAGGCTTTGTTTTGCATTCAGTCTTAGAGTTCCTCCTATTGTTCCAAAGATGGGACTTTGGCATGAAGGAAATGTTGTTCTGTGTGCATTAAAATGCAGCATATGGTGTGCTCACCCCCTGAAAAATCTCTTGAATTGCCTTTGGGCCGGGTTCTTTGCATGGGCTGGCGAGGGGAGGACTCTGCTCCCCAGTTCCAGCTGCAGTACAGGTTGGATATGTGTTGAATTTCTAATTGTGCCTCTCTGTATGAGAGAGAGCTGCATTTAAACTTCCAGAGCACATATAAAACTCAAGAACCACAACTGAAGTCTCCCCAGTCCTGAGAACGTGCCGCACTGGGGCTGACCCTGCCAGAGAGTTGATGGGAATTTCCGCAGGTTCTGTGATGCCAGTTAGAAGCAAATAAATTTGGTTTAGTCCTTTGTTTTCTCTCCTTTTGAATGTATAAAATGGCAGTGGTTTGGGTTCACTATAAAAATCAATGTGCACAGTCCTATATTTGTCCAGCAACACGGTTCATGTGTTCTACCACACAGTATGTGTGTGGTAGAAGTTAAAAGTTATAGTTCACTATAAAAAACAATGTGCACAGTCTTGTATTTGTCTAGCAACCCGGTTCATGGACAGCAGTATGTGTGTGGTAGAAGTTAAAAGTTATGTTCTCATCTTAAAGTGTCGTGGTATTATGTATAAATGTTTGAATCTTATTAACACCTGGACACCCCAGTCAAGGATGGGGCTCTCTTGTGCTGCCTCTAGTCACTGCTTCAGAAAACTTAGTGGTGTAAGAAGTGGTAAACTGAATGCATTTCAGCTATTTGCAAATCTGACTTAAACCTGTTGTCTTCCCACTGTTAAATTGAATGCATTTTGGCTATTTCCAAATCTGACTTAAACCTGTTGTCTTCCCACAGATCTAGAAATTGTTGGTTTTGTAGATATAGCTGACATTTCTAGCCCTCCTGTCTTGTCCAGACACTTGGTGCTGCCCATTGCACTGAACAGAGGTAAGCAAGTTTTGTTTCTTTCAGCAAAACCCGCTTTTAACTTCCCTTGTAATGTCTGTGGTGGTTTAGACTAGAAGCACAGGTCTTATGCTTTATCAAAATGCCAGATGTCTTTAAAGACATGTTTGTCTGGTTATGTTAAAATTAAAGCCTTGAACACAAGCTCTTTCTTTTTTTGAATACTGTGTTCTTTAGAAAGTTAATAGAGGGAACGGTGTCCTTATGTTGTCATTATTAATAGACGTGCTAAACTTAAAGCTAAAAATAGTTACGGGCCATGAAATATTCAAGATGAATATTTAATGCCAGCACCTAATTGGTTCTTGAGATGATTTGTTGTTGTGAAGAATCTGATCTTAATGACAACTCGATTGCTCAGTTGTACTGGAGCATTAATTGCGGCTCATTGGGGCTAAGTATGTATGTATCTGTACAAATGACTGGGGTAGGCTTCAAGGATGGTTAAGGATGTTACTGACTTGCAGCTACTTGTATGCATCAGCTTGCATTTAGAAGAAGTTCCCCTTTCCTTTTATCATGGCTTTGGAGTGCAGCAAAGAGACAGTGAGATTTCTCTTGGTAAAAAAGAATGAAAGCTCCAGATATGCTTTCATCTCTGTATTAACATTCTTATCATGCCAGGCCTTTCACCTTAGAAGATATTAACGGTTAAATCACAGCTGTATTCCAGCTACTGAAACAGTAGTTAGTTTCTCCTAATGACCACAAATTGCATAGGAGAGAGGAGGACTTGAAATTCAGGATACTTTTGGTTCAGAAGCAGCCGTGTATTCATTGCCAGACTCTTGGTGCCATTTCACTTCTAGTTTCTTTGAGGCGGAGGTTTTATTTGCAGGTTTTTTGGTAACACTGTTTTGTGAGTAGGACACAGTGGCATATTTATATAACATTATAATACCACTTTGCCCAAACAGTTCATTCAGCAGCTGTTTGTTCTACAGAAGTATTAATGGACTCTTGCATGGCAGAGGATACTGGGTGGCATCGTGGAAATAGAACTAGTGTGTTTGAATTTATTCTTTGAATTTATTCTTATGTTGTCTCTTTGCATTCATTCTTCCTCAGAAGGTGATGAGGTGGGACCTGGGATCACAGATGACACGGAAGATGAGAATTCAGCTAATCAGATTGCTGGAAAAATCCCCAACTTCTGTGTTTTATTACATGGCAGCCTGAAAGTGGAAGGCATGGTGGCTGTCGTCCAGTTGGGGTATGGAGCTGGATATCTGCCTGAAAAATTTCTTACTTTGCTCATTTATGCTTTATTTATAAATTATGCTTATTTATATCTGTATTCTGTACAGAACTCTGCACTGCTAGACAAAGATGTGCATTTTTAATTGTGGATATGTTTCTGCCAGTATAAATTACAAATAGTGAGCCTCCGCACCGTGGGAGGGGGGTGGATTGTAGGCAAAGAGAGGTGGCAGGTTTTCAGCCTTTGGGATTTGCTCTTTTCCATAGGCCAGAGTGGTATGGAATGCTCTATTCACAAGCTGACAGCAAGAAGAAATCAAACCTCATGATGTCACTTTTTGAACCTGGTCCTGAGCCCCTTCCGTGGCTGGGGAAAATGGCACAGCTTGGACCTATTTCAGGTACCAGGCACACTCATTTGAATAACTCTTACACATTCAGTGTTTTCTTTCTTGAACAACCTTGCCAAGTCTTAGTTGTTAAGTTCTGATTTTCTTTCCCTCGGCCTAGATGCAAAAGAAAATCCTTATGGAGAGGATGACAATAAGAGCCCTTTCCCCTTGCAGCCCAAGAACAAGCGCAGTTACGCGCAGAATGTTACCGTATGGATTAAACCAAGTGGCCTCCAGGTAATGATGCAGGTTTTGGACTTGATGCTTTACTTGGATGAGCAGTAGCCATCTGACCAGCCAAGTGGAATCTGTCTGTGTCTTGTCCATTTAATGTAATTGCTTTATTGCTTTTCTTTCATTTTTATAAACTCGGCTTCTTCAAAACGTCATGATTAAAATGCAATCAGAAAGCATAGCTCGTTTAATGAAAGCTCTGTCTCCAGTGTAGCATCTGGCTTAGTTTATTTGATTTAGTATAATTACCATTTATGTTTCAGCCTTTGTGAGCTGCAGTCTTGTGAATGGTCAGCATAATTTAACAATAAACAGTTGAGGATATTTTTCTGCAGCTTCCCCAGCAGTTGCCAAGACTTTTTAATTTTTTATTTTTTTTTTCCTTTTCTGCAGACAGACGTACAGAAGATCTTGAGAAACGCAAGGAAACTCCCTGAAAAAACGCAAACCTTCTACAAAGTGAGTAACGTTTCAGGGTGGCCCGAGTTTGGTTTGGTTTGGTGATAGTGGTGCATATGACAGTGGAACACACTCTGTCTGTGTCCATGGGCTGTTCTGTGCGAGCTGGTAGGGCTCTGCAAAACCTACATGGTTCTGTAAAGGAAACATCTTGCGTCCATTTTACAGAGTAGTTAAGGTGAGGCGAGGGGGTCTGGCGGCCGAGATGTGTCACATTTTCAAGTGCTCCTTGTGATCCCTGCTACTTCCTTGGCGAACTTCTTTGCAGATCTTACGCTGTTGTTCAGGCAGAAATAAACTGAGGGACCAGAGAGGAGTAAAACACCAATGTCCTTCTGAGTTTAAGAGTGTCTCCTGCGTTTTTTTTCTACGACTGAAGCAGAGAAACACAAAATTCTAGGCACATTTGGCCACATCGTAGTAACCCGTAATCCAGACAGTAGCTGGAGGTAACTGTAAGCTTAATTTTGAAGCAGTTTATTGTTGTAGCCCATAGAGACTTCAGGACTGGATACCCTGCCTCAATGCACATAAGCACTCCAGTTTATAGTAAAGAAAAATGAATATATATGCATTTTGCTGGTTACTGTGGTTAAAAGCAGGAGTCAGTGGGAGGCTACTCCCAGCTGGGACACAGACAGAACAGGCAGGTACAATAGCTGAATGCACAGAAGGGAGAAGTGGAGATTTATAGGAAGGAAAACCCCAACCGTTTAGCTGTGCTGCTGCAATCCTCTGCCCTGAAGCATTTTTTTAATCTGATGAGCAGTGGGCAGTTTCCAGCAGCTGCACTGGGCGCTCAGGTTACTTTCCTTGAAGTGAATAAGCTTGCCATTAAAAAAAATAAATCCATGTTTTTATGTAAAGGCTCGCAGTGGTTTTTAAAGGAGTTTTTCCTTCTTTGCAGGAACTTAATCGTTTACGAAAGGCAGCCCTGGCCTTTGGCTTTTTGGACCTGTTGAAAGGGGTGGCAGACATGCTGGAGCGGGAGTGCACGCTGCTGCCGGACACGGCTCATCCCGACGCGGCCTTTCAGCTCACACACGCTGCTCAGCAGCTCAAAGTGGCAAGTACTGGAGCATCGGAGTACGCTGCCTACGATCATAACATTGCTCCCCTGCAGACAGACTTTTCCAGTAGCAGCACTGAAAGGATGTGAAGTCTCCGTTTTGGGAACTTCTCTAGATTTTAAGACTCAAGTGGTTCAAATTTTCTTGTCTTGTTTACTTTCTAGGGCCTCTTTAATTAATGTTTGGAGAACTTCTTATCAAAACAGGGTCCCTTACCTCCGTCAGTGCTCTCTTAAAAAAAATATGTAGCTAGTTTGAAGTGGTTTTAGTCAGACCTGGAAACCGGGGAAAGTGTCCCAAAGTCAATTACTCTGTGAAGTTACTCAGTTCATGTGAGGAGAGAAAGAAAATGCCATCATAGGCAGCAGACTGCTCGTGGCTTTTGGCCTCCCTAAAATGTGGTTACTACATGACTGAACTCCCTGGTATCCTAAAAGGCAGCTACTTTATACACCAACTTGATTAGTCCAAAGAAAACATGTGCGAGATCAGATGATACACAGCTAATTTCAGGGTGTTGTCACTCGTTTTATATTCAACTTGAAATCCAGTCTGCACTGCCGTAATGAGGGTTATCACTTGCATTGCAATGCTTGTGCTTGTGAAAGTAACTTAATCTTGCGAGACGAGTTTTTTTATTTGTGTAATATTAATAAAGATTAAATCTTCATGAAGATTTAAGTTGGCCTTGTTCCATTTTCACAGCAACTCGGCTGTGTGACCTAAAGCATTGCCCTGGTGAAGGCTCAGCTCCCAGCTCTTTTATCACAAGAGTTAAGTAATAAATGATACAACTCGCATTCAGGGAAGGAACAAACAACTCCACTAAAGCAAAATTTGGTTGTAAATCTTTATTAATAGAAACACATTCTTTCTGAAGGACTAAAATTCAGTAGTGTAAGATCCATGACAGCTTGCACTAGGTACCACAGTTTCACTGAGGAATATCATGTATGAATACACGTGGATTTCATAACAGAAGTTTAAATGCCCAGTGAAGAAATTAAGTATGAAAGTGATCCTTGCTGTTCCATTACCTGGCAAATTCAATCCTTTGACAGACTTCAAACACAGGTACAGTGTGTGCTGTAGTGAAACAGTAAGTGTGTGAATAAGGCTGAACCCTTCTGAGTACAGTGAGCTGTGCTCTCCTTTTGAGAGCGAGCCTCAAGTATCGCTGAAGAGAAGCCGCAGCGTTTCTCTTGTTGACAGAACACGTTTGTGAAATGTAGTGCAGAGTTTGTACCAATTCTTTGTTAAAATCTCCTTATAATGCTATTTCCCTTCCTTTACAGTAACAATCACTTGGGTCCGTATCACAAACAGTGAGCTGTTTTGTCACCTTTAATACAGAAAATAACTTTCTGGAGGATTCATATCATTTTACAGTAAAAAAAGATAAATAGTAACATGGCAGTAAGCTAATCTCAGCTTCAGTGCCTGTTCTGGACTGCTGGCATTTGCATTTCCCCAGGGGCAGTGGCAGTTATTAAGAAAAAAATCTGTTCATAACCACAGTATGGTTTAAAGCATTTTTTTTGTACATTTTCTAACTGGATGAAGGAGGCCAGAGGGATGTGGAATTAACTACAGGAAGCTAGGTGTGAAGAAGGGCACTCTGAAATCAAGTCAACTGAAACAAAGGTTTCCAGGTGAGAGAGTAGATGACTTGGAATGTGGGGGGAGCTTCTCATTTTTTTTGTTCTTGCTGTTGTTTAAAACAAGCACAGAGGAAAGGGTCCCTTCAGACCCTATGTGGGATCTCCCTTACAGAGATTTGATACACGCTATCAAAATACTATAGTTTATTTGACCCACTGCTCCATCCCACCAGGGGCCAACCAATAAATTATATACACCAACTTCTCCTCTGCACCCTTAAGTTTAAGCAGGAAAGCAACCTTTACTGCCTTTTCCATGGCTATAAATAAATACAGGAGCTCCAGCCCTGCCAGGAATAATCAGAGGAGCCCAGTCTCCCATGGAAGTTCCACATTTTCCCTTTGCCTGGCTGGGATGGAGTTCTGCCAGGGTTTGCTCACATGCTAGGAGAGCTGGTACCTGTGTTTCTTTATTTTGTTATGTTTCAGTGCTTGTGTTCCCAATCAGGAAAGCGTTTCTGACCATGTCACAGAGTGGCAGCTTCCTTTCCCTAATGACTGCATAAGGATTTGTTGCTACAGGAATGCTCGGATCCACACAGCGCTCCTTTTCTGTTAAGGCTAAACTAGAAACAGACTAAGTTGGTAGCATTTAAATTGACATTAGCTATTTCCAGTATGAATTCTGCAGCATCAATAGGCTGCAGAAGAAAAGTTCCTGCCATGAAGATGCACCCTAGGAACAGCACAGGCCAGCTAATAGTATATCCTGACATCAGAAGCCCTATCTGCATGCAATATTGAAAGAGCAAATATCCAATTTAAAGATAAACACTATTTCTATTTAGTGCTGCTCCACTGTTTATAAGCATATTATATGCAGATAATAGGATTTCTTTCTAATATGGTAGTTGACAGGATACAAGTTTAAATGTTACTGTTCAATGGTAAATGCCATGCATACATGATTGGAAGGGAACGAAATACAGTATATGGGAATGTTACCTGAATTCACTATGAAATCATGAAATCTAGCATGATCATTTAATTTTACAAAATTCTTTACATTACAGTGGGTAAAACCGTAAGAATTAGAGGCTTATCTTGTCACTGAGATAAGTTAGATAAGAAAGTTGCAAGTCCTCCTTTACTTCATCTTTCTCTTCTTTGGTCCCAGGTGCTGTCTCCTTTGCTTGTAGAGATGACGGAAGTTTACAAATACCCCTGAAAAAGAATGAAGCATTTAGGTAGGACATTATTCTGTCTTTTTAATGCTAGATGGCTGTACCAAATTAAAAAAAAAAACCAAACCCAAGCAACCAACCAACCACACAAAAAGCCATGGTTTGAGGGTGTGTATAGCACTGAAAACTAAAGCAAGTTTTTTCTCACTGGGTGAGACAAGAGTTGCTGCTGGGGCTGTTTGGTGTCTGGCTGTTTAGAAAGTTGGTTTGTCACTTTCAAAAAAGTTGCAACACAGGCTGACAAAGGATCAAACAAGTATTTCAGAGTGAAACTTGATAAAAGGTATTCTTTAAGCAATGTCTGTAAAAGGGAGAAGTCTTGTGAAAGCTCAGTTTAAAATTCTAAGTTTGATTCTACTGAGTTGTGGATTCCCAGGCATTCTGGAAGGGCATGCTACCAACTTATGTTTAAACATATGACACCAGAAACCAAGTATGTAGCAAGCAAGCACCATTCTTCTTTAAATATGTGACTATTTAAAGAGCCTTCTATATTGTTTCCTGGAAAAACATGGCTTCGTGTTGCTTAGTGATTATAATACAGTTTAGTTTAACATTGCTTTAATTTAAAATTACGTTAAAATTTTCACTAAATCATTCTAAAGCTCAAATACCATGTAAAAGGTGAAACTAAGCATATTGTAGTTATAAATACAGCAAAATTTTTTTTTTTAACCCAAGTGATCAGAAGATAATGCTAATTTTTTACCAAAGTCTCCGTCTCGTGGGGTTAATCAGTGCTAATTGTACCTACGTTGCCCTCCATCTCTGTCAAATTTACATAAACAAGCAACAAGGATAATGCTTAACCTCAAGCAAATTACTGTTGCCATGATCCCCAAAATGCCGGAATTTAATTTCCTTCAAGAAACATATTTAGAGGAAACTGGCCTTTTTATATCAATAGTGAGAAATAGAATTAAGTGTCTTACCTAAAAACAAGGCTATAAGGTATATTTGAAGCAAAAATGAAAACTGGATTGTGACGTTCAGTGGATTTGGCAGTCCCAGACTATATTTCCCTGTTTCACTGAAGATTGGAATGGATTGAATGATACAGACAGCTGAAAGCAGAAGGCCACCATCATTAGCAAACACAGATAAAATACACAATCGCCCAGCCCACAACAGGAACTTTTTCAGGATATTCCCTTCTTATTTGCTAGCTTCTATTAATTATACCAATTTTAAAGCTGCTGTTATTTTATTTTTTTTAACATGCAGTCTGATAGGAAGCAGCTATCTCGGGCAGCGTAGCAGTTAAGCTATAGAAGTGAACTTGCCTGGTGAAACGCTGTTTTTATTCACAAGTGGAGCCTGCTGGGCCCACGCCAGTAGTATTTACCATGCAAAAATACACACAGCAATGAGAAAAAGCACGTTCCTTCCCGTGCCTGGAGTTGGGCAATACCCAAGCCTACTCCTGGCTGACAGAAACAGGTTCAGACAGGTACGATTACAACACATTTCTTACAGCTAGGTGCTGAGTGGTGATACGCTGCTTAAATAAATTAAAATTTAAAATAATCCAGGCTTGTTAAGACAGAAGAGTTCACTGTAAAGCCTCCCTACTCTAGAGGGGGCACAGCAAGATGATTAGGGGCTTCTTCCATGGAGCAGTCAGTCTCCAAGCAGAAATGGAGCAGAGCCCATGCCTGTCTCAGAACAGGCTACGCTGCTTTCAGAGGAAGAACCGGCCGCTGCCTGTCCTGTGCAGTGATTTACAAGATAATATCCAGATCTGTGAGCTGGTGTCAACCTAAGCCAGGCTGACCAAGTCAGGTCTAGAAGATAAAAGCAAATACACTGCTTTGGATCAGCAGAGGCAAGTGAGCGTGGTTGTCTCGTGCCGCTCGCATGGACTGCGCCGCACGCATGGTCACTTTGTCAGGTAACCTTTTGTTGCCTTTATTTCCTCTCCAGTACCCAAAAGGAAGACTTCTTTTAACATCAAATTGAAAAAAATATTTGATTCAGTAAGAAAGACAAAAATGCTTACGTTTGGTTCAGCTCAAAGCAACTGTCTGTTTATCTGTTGTTCTATTATTTTTCAGTCCAGCAGCCAAACCAAATTATCTGTTGTTCTATTATATTATTTTTCAGTCCAGCAGCCAAACCAAAAATTGAGTTATTTGCCCAGCCTTGACTTGATTGGTTATTAAATTGTCTTTTTTGGACATACCTTCTGCCAAACCTCCTAAAGGGTAGAGAGGGATCCAGGTAGTGTAACGGAGCCAGGTTAGTGGTTTCCATTCAATACCGATACATGAAAGCATGTAATATGGATACCTAAAGCCAATTCAGTGTGAGAAGAAACAGACGCTGTTTAAAATGGAAGCCGTTGCTAGAATTAGTCTTGCATATATCTGCTGTATAGAACAGGCAACATAATTCCCAAATGACACAAGAATAGTCAAAAATTGTTCTTATGGATCATGATGGACGCACCCTTGTTTGGCAGTTTACAGAACTGATGCTATTATTCTGACCACATGGATAAATCTAACTGCCTGACTTGCCTAATAAACCCTTCAAAGTACTTCTCTTGAAAGAGAAACACAACACAGTGTAGCTCATTTGACAATGGAAATCCAAAGCAACAGGTTTCCCTAGGTTCAGGGCAGTATTATTTTCAGACTCCAGCCTTTGGCAGGTGGGGCAACCCAGGAAGGCTGTGATAGTCCATGTCTCTAAAGGAGATTTTACTCTCTGGGGCCAGTATACTAGAGCCACTCTTCCAAAAGGTGCAAGGATCAAAATCTTGAAAGGCTTCTTGGGAACAACCACGTTGTTGTGTACACACCTACTAGAAGAAAAATCCCACAAACCTGAACAGCTCAATGATACTCCAGAAATAAAATATGAAGAACACCACAGGTTTGCTCTGCATTTCCTCTAAGCTTCCGAGGACAACAAACAAAATAAAGTTTCTTCCAAATACCTGTTTAAGAAAAACAAATTAAGGAAGAGTTACACTCTTCATCAAAAGAAAGAGCAAGTCCTTGCTGTCAAAAACACACAGAATATCTACTCTTCAGACCTGAAACATATGCTGAGCATGTACCTAACTCTGCAGCTGAGCTGTGACCTGCTTCTTAGGAGCATGCATTTTGCTCTGTATTTAGGTGCAATCCAAGGGACTTAGTCTTACATCATCTATCCTCATTTTTTTTTTATGCACAACAACCACAACCAGGATAAACAGGGCGCTGGCACCAAATCAAAATCACGTATTTTTCATCAGCTGCTGTGCTGAACCACTTTACCCAGGTGACAGAAGAAGACAGCCTGCCACAGCTGAGACTGGAAAGCACAAATTCCTGCCTTCTGAATAATATATTCCCATGTCCAGCACCAGTGAGGTCCTATCACTCATTTTAGCAGAGTCTCAACACTTTGTTTAAAATAGAGATCTACTTTAAACACAGGGAGGGGGGGGAGCAAGGAGAAGAATCTTAAAACATTACCTGCACTACAGCAGGTATCAGCGGTGATCTGACTAGTCCTATTAGTGAATTCATGATCTCCATTAACGCCAGGGTCTGACAGAAATACATCATGTCAGAAATAGTGTGAAAAGTATCATAGAAGGAATCTGTAAGACACAGGAAGCAGTTTTAGAGAACAAACGAATTTCCATGTTCAGGAAGCTGGTGCAGCAGCAAAGCTTTTAATAACAGGATTCTAGTTGGATTTGAAAAAAAAACATATTATGCATAATTATGTAACTTCTTTATAGGCCTTATCTTGAAGTCACAGCAGGTTAGGCCAGAAACACTGCTCAAGTGCTCTTTTTCATAAACAGAAGGATCAAAAGCTATTTTAGTAATTACCAAAAAAAGTGATAGTGCTGTTACCTCAATAGAATAAAGCATTCTCTGTTCAATAACAAAATATTCTGCCCAGCTCATTTTCAAAAATACTAACATTGCAGCAAGACATTTTGCTCCAACTGATTTCTTTACAAGTAGTCTTGGCAGAGTACAAGTATCATTCATCAGAACACGCAGTTGTCATTTACAAGAGGACAGTGTTTTCCTCTCCTTGACACTGTGATGGCTTTTTGAGAGGCTTTTGTTGTGTGCTTCAGTGATGCTTTTACAGTTTTGTTTCTTAAATATGTCTTCCTCTAGAGTTCACTATTTAGAAAGTATTAAAAACAACACTAGAAACCAAAACAAAAAAAAACCCAACCCAATGTAAATAGAAAAGTCCTTACTACTTGCCTTTTCCTAAGATGAACAGCCGTACTGTCATGTTCACAAATATCCATGAGAATCCCAAAAATTGTACAAGATTATACATAACTAAGTATCCCTTCTTCAGGTGTTTGAAAGCTAAAATCAACAATAAACACATCAGGTGAGCAGAGTACAATGGTAACAATCCTGCAAAGACTGCAGCTGCAAACCAGGTTTCTGTGAGAATAAAGCTTCCAAGAAACACGGGAGCTACTGATTGTGATAAAAGTGTTCCTGTGGGCATCAGGGGTTCTGCCCGTTTTCACCAGCATCTGCTAGAACTCAATTCTTGCTAGGCAGATTTTTTACATTCCTTGGAAACTGCAGTCCGTTTTCATTAGATTTCCAATTAGCTCATAATACAAAGATCCCCCTCCAAGATGCACCAAACCAGATGAAATCGCTCGATAAAACTTCCATATAAGAGTGACAGAAGCTTTCTCAGCCCCACCTTAGACACTAGAAAGGTACGGTTACTTACGGTCTTTTGGGACTCTGGATTCTATTTTCATTTTGTTAATCTTTTCTTCTTCCTTAAGATGAAGGATAAGGTTTTAAAGACTGTTACTGTAATTAGCAAGTGATTTGTTAACTATACTACTGCAAAGCTACTGGGTTTAAAACACAGCTAAGCAGCCAGTTGCTAGAGGGTTTAAATTTTCACCTGCATAAAACAGCACATTCCTCATCCAGAAATTATGGTATGGTAAAAGCCAGAGGGTGTTAACTAGCTATCCTACCTTCACTATGTATTTTTTTTCTAGTAATTAGGTGCTTTGCCGAAAAAGCCTGCTGTTTTCTGTGTTAATTCTCAAGTTATTAATGTTGCTTAGAGCTGTTCCTTAAAACATTTCACGACCCACCAGTGGCCTGAAGGGAACTGGGAACATCCAGCCCAGGCTCTCTGCCTGCCCTTCACGGCTGCCTTCTGGCTCCTGGCACAGCAGCAGCCCTTTCTCCTCCGCGCTAAGCTGAGTGGCTGTGGAGGGGAACAGGGCAGCACTTGATGTTAAACAGATTTGCAGAAATGGGATCTGTTCAACACTTTTCCAAGACGGTCTTTCTTCTCCCTGCTGCATTAAGCTGCTTGAGCTTACCAGATGGTTGGGAACACACCGTCAGGGCCAGCCCAGTGGCTCAGGAAAGCCTCAGAAATCCCTGGGGAACACACCGTCAGTGGCTCAGGAAAGCCTCAGAAATCCCTGCTTTCCAGACAAGCAATGTCTGGGGCTGGTGCCTCCAGGCTCCACATGGCTCATGGACATGACCTTCATATGGATTGGGACACAGGGATGCTAAGGCATAGGGCAAGGGGTGCAGACTCTGGCCAGCCCTGAGCATGGCTGCCTGTTCAGATTAGATCTGCTGCTCTTTCCAGCCAGAAGTGTCCCTGTTTCTGAATTCCCGCTAACAATCTGAGGCGTTTAACCAATTCTACATGGAATCTGTGTGGAACAGCATTAACAATCAGCATGCCAGACAGCTCCAGGTAAATGAAGAACACAATTTTGAGCACAGGAGAACAGCTACCCTTGCTTTGTAGTGGCAGCACAAGCCACACGTGCCTGTCCCTGTTTCTGAACTCCCAGTAACAATCTGAGGCGTTTAACTAATTCTACGTGGAATCTGTGTGGAACAGCATTAACAATCAGCATGCCAGACAGCTCCAGGTAAATGAAGAACACAATTTTGAGCACAGGAGAACAGCTACCCTTGCTTTGTAGTGGCAGCACAAGCCACACGTGCCCACGAGACTGACCTTCTCCTTCAGTTCCATTTCAGCATCCGATTCATCTAACCAGCGGTCGAAGTCAGGAGCTAGGAAGAGCGGGCGCTTCTCTTGCTTGGTGAGTCTCTCCCACCAGTTACTCTCTTTTTTCTGCACAGTGATGTTCAGTTGCCTTTGAGTCACCCTGCATACGGGCTGAGGGCAGAGACGGGAGCACAGATCAGCAAAAGTTCTAAGAAACAAGCTCTGAGACTGAGTTGATACCCAAGCTCTCCTTATCAAGGAGGCAGAGATGACACGAATTGCTGCAGCACAAGCATCTCTCTGCCACCCAAGGCATGCAAGCAAAGGGCAGCCCAGTTGAAGATGGCAACTGTGATGGCTCTAGGACTTGATAAGCAGCTTGAAAGCCTGCCCGTACCACACAGCACCAGTGCATCCCACCACAAAGAGCTAGCACAGACCCTAGGGGCAAGCCTTCTGAGGCAGAACCCACGATCTTGGCTTTCGACCTTCCACATTAAGTACTGTGAGCCACCCACCTCCTCCAGCCAGTGGTAAAAATAACACTACCATCAGCCACAGGTCCACGTCCAAAACAGCAGACCCCACCTGACATCTGTGACAGCAGGAGGAAAAGCCAACAGCCTTAGGAAACACCCACAGAGGGTGGTGAGCTGAAGGACCTAGCAGTGTGGTCACTGCCACCCCACAAGGGCTCTCCACCACGACAACACTCTGCATAACGGCAGCCCAGAACCTCTCCATCCTTACAGCCCACAGCACTGTGGCCTTGGGTGCCCACCTTTACTGCCACCATCACACCTCGAGCCTACGCCAGGGCGCTGTGCACAGGACTGCCTCTCAAACCAGCTGAAACTGCTGGAGAAGAGCCATGAGCTGGGTTCTTAACTGAGCAAATGACCCCAGCACTGCTCTGTCAAGGCCATCTGGATGCTCCTAGGACATCTGAAGGCTGTAGCTGTAACTTACAGCTGCCAGTGCCTGGTCCTTGCCTGTCAGAGGCTCCATCTCTCACTGGTGGCCAGCCTGGCACAAGCAAGAGGCACTTCTGGTGCACATCAAAGCTAAAAGAGAAAACCCCAGACTGCAATACTTCCTGGTCCCAACCATCTGTAGTTACACAGATTTCAGAGAGTTGGTTCTCCTCCAGCCCCTCCGTGGTGACTCAGAGTGACTAGACTTTTGGAAGGAGGCTGCTCTGCAGAGGCAAGGACTTGCCTTCCAGGCCTGGCTCCCAGCACAGCCCGGGTCTGCCAGCACTGAGGATGAGCCTGGGCACTGGTGGGCACCTCTCCCCACGCTGTGGGCCAGGCAGCTGCTGCTTCACTGGACAGGTGACAAAGTGGTGACCAGATCCTGGAACCAAGGGATGCTCGTTGTCTGCCACTCAACACCTGGTAGGAGCCACACAAGAAACCTACCTGTTGACATAACCCTAGAAATCCACCCTCCAGTGATCTTCTCCCTGGTCGAGGTGAATGATGGCTCCCAGTCTGACTGCAGCCACCCCAACAGGCAGCCAGGCATAAGCAGCACAAATCCTGCACTGGGAGCAGAGCCCAGACTTTTCCTGTGGCCCAACAGCTTTGAGAGGTAAAGACAGATTTTACAGCCACCTGCAAGCAACGTGGAGAGGCTGCTCTTCCAGCCAAGCTCTCTCCTGCTGGACTACAACAGCAATTAAGAAAGATTTTGCAATAGGAGCCTCAGCGTAACTGTACGGGTAACCTAAGAAATCTGCACGAGCCAGAAGCACTACTTCTCATGACTTTATTTTGTCGGGCTGCAAAAGAAGGCAGGAAACATCACACTGAAAATTTGCAGCACAGCCTTCCCCTGCTCTCCAGTCAAGGCTACACCACACAACGCGTTGCCAGATACTCCCATTATTTTGCTGCTTTAAATTCTTTAAAAAAAAATTTACAACTACTGTTTAACAACAGATATCTGTGATTTGCATTAGGGGAGGACGGTGGCTGCACAACGGAACAGAGGACACCACAGACAGCTTTCAGTTTGCAGCAGTTACAGAGTCACCCAGAAAAACGAAATGGCACATGGTGAACTTTATGTGCAGCCACTTTCAAGTTTTTAAAAAATTACTTTTTCTCTGCAAGAGTTAGAAAAGGAAAAATACCTACTTTAGGCTCAACCGGTTCTAGGAACTCGATCTGAAACTCGTAGATGTTGTCCCCTTTGGCACCATGACCCTGAGCTAAAAGACAAGAATTAAGAGTCAGCGTGAAGGTCCCAGCCAGTTCCACGCACCCCACCTGCGAAGGACGTTTTTTACAGAGAAGTGCTCAGCAGTTATTTACAGTGCTTCCCCCTGCCCTGCTGGGAGGCAAGAGGAAGCCACACCGTAACAGGGAAGACACAAACAACCCAAAAAGAAAAAGGTTTGGATGTGCTGTCACTGGAGTCAGCAGCCAAAGCTGCTGCCACTCTGCACAGCGCTGGAAAAGGCTCCTTGATTGCAGGCAGGTAGTGTGAGAGATTCCCAGAAGAAGGGCTCCAAATGTTCCTCAGGTCTTGCTTGAATCCGACTGGGACCCCCCTGTGTTGATGGTGATCCCACCTGGTGATGCCAGTCTCCAGTGGGTCCATAGGGGCACCGTGAAGGAGTGCCAACACAGGAGGGTGCGTTCACCCCTCCTCTCCCACATACATGGGGTCTCATCCCCCAAAGGGCTCCGAAAACCTGCCCTCCGAGTTGAGTTTCCACCCTTCCACGCCGTAAACTGATCCTGAAGCGAAGATGATGTGCAACAACCCTCCCCTATCAAATGGCCCTGGCTGTGGCTCACCAGGGAGGCCAAGGCAACGCATTAGAAAGAAAACCACCAAATAAATGAGAAAACCCCAAATAAAACCAGTCGTGGCACATCCTCGGTGCGACCAGGACAAGGCCACCAGCGTGAGGTGCTGGGGCGTGCAGCGTCCCGGCCAGAACAAAACCCCCTTTCAGGAGGAGACCTGCTTTACCTTTCAAATCGAGCGCTGGCTCCCGACGCAGAGGTTTGATAACGGTGGCAAAACAAGGTCTTTGTGCAAGGAAAAAAGCTGCTGCCGGCTATCTCCGGGGTGCAGTGGAGACAGGACAGCAAAGACGTATGGAAATTTCATGGATATTTAAATATGGGGAGGCTGGGTGGTTGGTTTTTTTTTTTTTTTTTATTAGATAAGATACAACCTGCTCTTCCTACAGCGGTTTGTTGGTGGGTGCCCATCGTGGCATGGCCAGCACCCAGTGCTGAGCTCAGTGGATGCTGCCGAGGGAAGCGGTGGGGACCGGGGATCCCGGGGGGATGGATGGACCCCGTGGGGCTACAGGGACCCAGGGACAGAGGGGGACCCTGTGGGGCTGGATGGACCCCGTGGGGCTGCGGGGACCCAGGGACTGTGGGGACCCCATGGGGCTGTGGGGACCCCATGGGGCTGCGGGGACACAGGAACTAGAGGTGCTGCGGGGACCCTGGGGCTGGTTGGACCCCATGGGGCTGAGAGGACCCTGGGACTGCGGGGATCCCGGGGCTGGACAGACGCCATGGGGCTGTGGGGACACAGAGGCTGAGGGAACCCCAGGAATAGAGGGACCCCGTGGGGCTGAGGGGATCCAGGGACCGAGGGGACCCCGTGGGGCTGCGGGGATCCAGGGATCGAGAAGATCCAGGGATCGAGGGCACCCCATGGCTGGAAGGACCCCGGTGCTGCGGGGAACGCCGGCCTCTCCTCCCAGAACACCGCACACCAGCTACGGGCCCAGGTCGTTACAGGACGACGACGCCCGCCTCCCCCTTCCCTCCCTCCCTCCCCCCCAGGTGGCGGGAGCCCCTACCTTTAAAATGCAGCACGTTGTCGATGATGGCGATGTCGGGGTGCTGCGGGGAGAGGATAAGGATAACGATCAGGCGGCGGCTCGCTCACCCCGGCCGCAACCCCCCGGGTCCGGCCCCGCCGCCGCCGCTATTCTCCCCCCCCCCCCCTC